CTGCAGTAGCTGACAAGATATTTTACTGATACAAAATCACACACATTAATTGACAAGATACAGAGACCTTGTGGTTTAGTGCAGTGACATTTTTTGATAAGTTTAATATTTCATTTCTGGGGACTAAGATGTTTTTTTAAAAATATGCCATTCCAAGTAGTGAAGAATCAGTTTTATTTTGTTATTATCTTAGTTTGAAAGATGGAAATGCAGAAATGAAAATTATATTCTTTCTGCATTTTTATCTTCCAATCCACACCAAATATTTATGAAACTATCACACTTTTTGTTTTCCTTTCAATTTTTGTCAAACATCTTACTTTAATTTAAACATTAGTTTTATTTCAGGTTATGATAATTCAAAATCTTTATTGGTGGTGGGGTTGTATATGCAATGAAGAGTAGTAAAATAGTAACAAACTCTTGGATGTCTTCATTTTATTCATCATATGTTTATTTTTATTCCATTTTTCAACTTCATTTATTATATTCCAAACTTTTATTCCTTTCATATTTTTATTCATTCAAATTTCTTCCAAATGCTTTTTTCTTCTTTTATTATTTTCTTGTATTTACATAGCTTTTTTTGCCCTTTTTTGTCTTTTCATTTTCATCTACATTTTCTTTTTCTTACAGACTGACCAAAATTAAACAGAAAAGGTGAAAAACAATTCCTGGCAGTAACCTGATGATTACAGTGCTAGTCATAATAAAAAAAAGATTCCTTTTACTTTCCACCTGACTGGAAATGTACCAAAATGGCAGCTTCTTTAAAGAAAGGAAAAAAGATAACTTCCTTCTGTGCATGAATGGAAAATTGAGAATGCATAGCCAAATATGATCCTTTCTGAATCAGTCATTTTTAGCTTTGTTTCTTTCAAGAGTTCTTGTCTGTTCTGAACAAAAGTAGAAAGCAGAAATGAAAAGAGGAGTAAAAAATGATAAAAAAAGAATAGAAAGAGGAAGATGAAACAGAAAGTTAACAGTATAAATTTTTGGTTAATGAACAGAAATGGAAGCAAGTCAAGAAAGTGAAAGGAAAATTGAGAGAGAGGGAAAGAGAAAATACTAGATGATATAGAGAAAGGTTAGAGAAAAATTGAGTGAGGTAAAAAAGAGAAAATTTCCTTGTCCTGAATCTTACACTGGCAGTGAATCAGGGATTCAAGACAATTTGCCGAGGGTGATGAAAGCAATGATTGTCCTTGAGAAGTTGAAGAGATATTTTGCAGAAAAATTTCTTTGTCCAGAGTTTTCTACTCTGGCATTGAATCAGATAGAGATACAATGCAATTCAAAGATGGTTATGAAGGCAGTGAAAGCAATGATTGTCATAGAAGTAACAAGCTATCTCATGAGAAATTTCTTTGTTATGGGTCTTCTTGCTCTGACAGAGTTTCCACATATATCCAGGTCTACATTTACAATTCATGCATCTCTGGGTTGAGGCAACTAATAAACAATATTGCTTCATGGATTACAAGGTTAACCTGAGATCGATAAAGGTGTGTTTCTTCTTGTGGGTACTCATGTTCTCTCTGGTCAGGACTGCCCAAATAAATAGGGTTTTCTGATTTTGTTATGAGAAGATGCATAAACATTATCATTTTGTTTAAAGTTTTACCTTATAATGATAAGAACTTTTACTATGAAGCAAGCTAGCTTTACATACAGTTACTACCATTGAAAAATCTGTCCTGTGTGCTATCCCATTGGTGGCCTTGTGTTAGACTTAGTTTAGGAAAAATGAGCAGTTCATTATGAAACAAGCTAATCACCCAGACTGTTACCACTGTGCTGAGTTGAACCTCAAAAGGCACCCTCTTGTGTTAGATTATGTTAAGTTTAGTGAATATGAATAAAAGATTTCGTAAATATATAACATCATTTTGGCAATGTTTAAGGTTCACAATTTCTTTTATCTAAAGCACAATAAATTCTTTTCTAAAATCATAAATCATTGTTTAAAATTAAATTTTTCTGAAATGATAACTCATTTTTTAAAAATAAATCCTTTTCCTCAAACAATATATACTTTAAAATAATTCTTTTAATAAAGTGCAAAATCTTTGTTTTTAAATAATGAGTCTTTCTTCTAAAACTATAATCATTTTTCTAAAAGGATAAATTTATTTGCATTAAATATGCACCTGAATTAAATAAACAAAAATCTCCAAAAAATATACAATGTTTTTGCAACCATCTCAACAGTTTTGAGCCTTAGGAACTGGCTCAAAGTATTCAATATATAAAACTAAAAAATCCAGGCTAGTGAGTCTTAGTAACATTTTTTAAGAATAAAAAACCCTTAATGAGTCACATTTCATTAAAATTTGGTTCTAAGGATGTTTTAATGCCATTTTCCTTCAAGATATAGGAGATTACAGACTTGTTTTTCTTTATTATCTGTGAATTACCATGGCTTCTTGGGAAAGATGGTGGAGTGATTCCCATTGCTTTCTATGTGTTTTGGAATTAAGAGTAATTAGATGTGTTTCTAATACCATACTCTTTGGGATATAGGCAAACATGACTCTTCACAGATAGCTTTTATTTATTATCTATGAATTGGAATGGTTTCTTGGGAAAGATAGTGGAGTGGCTTTCCATTGCCTTCTAAATGGCAATTCAAGGGGTGGCAATTTACAGATAATAAATAAAAGGAATCTATGGAGAGCAATGATTATTCATGTGCTGAAGGGATATATTAGTAAAAGAATATTATTATTATGACTTGGTTAGTTCTAAATAATATAAGTCTTTGGTTAGCTAACTAGTTGCATGAACCATTATTATGATAATGAGTTTGATCTTCACATCATATCTCACAATTAGAGCTTTGCTCTGTACTAACCTAGTTGTACCATTCTAAGCTAATCTTCATAAATATTAACTCTGATAATAAGAAACTATTTGCTGTAACTGAATGAAATTTCAGATTTTCATAGAACTGATAGTGAAAAAAAAATGATGGTTCCTTGATTGTGAGGGTTGATGATGCTCATCACAATCACACCAAGTAAAATCTTACAAGCAATGTTTTCAAGGATTTTTTTCCTTTCAGTTATCAAACAGTTTATCTCTTTCACTTCTTGTTGAGTTCTTAAGACAATAAATTAACTCCAGCAAATTATTTCTTAAGAAGACATGACAAGTATAAAAGTAAAGAAGAAAAGAAAATGGCGTAATGGCTGATTATAGAAAATTGTTGCCTAACTACTGCCTATCACTAGAGATTTCAAATGAATAGGTAAATATTTTCAAAGCAAGTATTGTTTGACATAATACCCAGTTGGTTAAAAACAGTGAGAAATTGAATAAAAATATTTATTTAGTGAAGCTTTACCAAAACAGAATAGTTGCTATATTGTTTTTGTAATATAATTAGTGGTTTGTATTAATTAGCTAACTAAATTTTCACACACATAAATAAGACTTTGCATTCGAGTCCTTTCCCTTATGTAATGAAAAATGCAAAATGTTGGCAGAAAACCATAGTCACACAGAATCTACATTTGACTACAACTAAAAACGTGCATGAGGTTTTGTCCGGAAAGTATCAAGTACTTTATATATATATATATATATATATATATATATATATATATATATATATATATATATATATATATAAAAGTAGCCTGCCTAGGACAACAGCACTTTAGTTCCTTTCTAATTATGCCCCTTTTGAAACATATACTCAATCCAGCATCATTTACACTTTTTAAAACAGTCTTTAATATGCTCTTTTGGGAACACAATCAGATACCTTAACACATTCTCTTTAATCTTATGCTCAGAATTTCAACATCAGTTTGAACTGTGAACAACCTAAACTTGCAGGAAGTTAAATCTAGACTTGTATAAGGGTTGACAGACCTTGGTGATACAATGTTCCACTAAAACCCTTTATATGAAATATGAAGAGTCTATTCACTCAGTCATTGTGAATGTGATGGTCACACAGTATACAAACTCACTTAATGATGTCTCACTGCCAACTAAGTAACCCCATAGGTTTATGTATGGGCAGTGAAATCCTCTATGACTGCTAAGGTATATCAAAGAAGCATCACTGCACATGTATGGATGGTTATTCTCCTGTGGGTCTGCTCAGCTATTAAGTAAGCTAATGTACTGTGTAACCGTCATATTCACAATAACTAAACAAATAGAGTCTTCATATCTTCTGTAAGAGGTTTTGGTAAAACATTGTATCACACAGGTCTGTCATGGCTTGCCTTCCCCATCAGTCTAGATTTGGCTTTCAGCAATTTCTAATTTTCTCCAACTTGAAATTGGCATTGAAATACACTGGAAGAGTATATGGAGAGCAAGATGAAGCAGCTGATGACAATCCTGTCAGAGGAGATTGCACAATGTTTTGTAAAATGTGTAAAGACCCAAAGAGAGTATTTTGAAGGTATCAAGGCAACATTACCCAAGGTAAGCTATTTTTTCATTAATATTAATTACTTCATAGCTTCCCTGTACTTCTTCTATAAATATTTTCATCATAATCATTATGATGAGTTTTCCTCTTTGGTATCTAGATTTTATGTACTAGATTGGCAGCTAGGTCTCATCATTTTAAAGTTGAAATTGCTAGTTGAAACTGTAAGTTCTATACTAACAGTATCTTCTTTCACGTTTCTCCTCTGTGGAATACTCTTCCAGCTTCTTGCTTTCCAGTCAAATTTGATCTTCAAAAATATAAATGCAATGTCAATCATTACCTTCTGTCTTAATTCCAGTTAACTCCTTACAAATGTTTTTCTCATATTCTCTCACACTCAGTAGCCCTTTGCATCTTAGTGACTTTATTATCTTGCTTGGGATGAAATTATTTTTTTTAAATCATTAAATAACTTGATACCTTCTGAATAGACTTCATATATCCCTTGAATTTTTTTACCTCCATCTTTGAAGTCCTTCCACCTTTGTTATTTTATCTATTGAATGTGTCATATAAAACTCTTGATATTGATTTTATTTCTTACCTTTTGCTTCCTGCCTCATCATCCCTAATGAAGTCATCACTGTGTTTATTTATTGCATAGTTTGTCAAGTGCATGTAGACATTATCCTAAAAAAAATAAAATAAAAATGAAATGATTGAAGCTCTGTATTAAATACCAATGAAATAGTTTGTACAATTTTTTTCCATCAAATTTTGTTCAACAAGTCCTCATTATAGAACAAGTGCAAATTTATGGCTTCATATTTTTTTAAATTTTGATTTAGGTTATCATGGTTCTACACAGATTCATTTTCTTTATTATCATTGAATTGGCATAACTCCTTGGAAAATTAGTGGATTGATCTCACATTGCTTTTTCCATAGTTTTGAATTCAGAACTTGAGCAACATCTTTCTCCATTTTCAATCTGCCACAAAGTTGTTCTTAGCATGCATTATGGTAGTTATATATATATAATGTATTTGAGATCACAATATATATTTTTATATGTCAAGAACAATATTGGGAAATTCAGGACTTCATCAGACTAAATTTGTTTGTCTTTTTTCATCTAGTTGAAATCATTTAGAGTATTTTTATTTTTATTTTCATTGCTTTTGTAAGCAGGTATTCCATACTGTGATTTTAGAAGATCTGCTAGGAATCATGAAATGTTGTAAGAGCCAGGGTACAGACTTACTGTAGATGACCCTGCAATTAAGGCACTGGCTACACATTTATGTCATTGTGAATTATTTTTCTCCTTTGATTAGAGTAGATTTTTTTTATGTCAAAATTGTGGCCAGTCTCGCTATGGTGAGCAACCAATGCATTTGATATATTATTTTGTAAAATGTCCTTTTTGTGTTTATGTAGTTTTTTTATTCATATTCCTTGAGGTTTCTCCTATGTATTTTTTGTGACACTTATTATAGGCAATGGAGTAAACTCTTCTTTCAAGTTTTAGCTTATTGTATTGTTTAGTATTGACTAAGTATTTTATTGTTTTTCATGTAGTAGTAACAAATTTTATGTTGATTTTAAATGGATTCTTTTCAATTGTAGATGTGATAGAGTTAGCAGGCAGGATAATATATGTTTTGATTTGTTGGGTTTTGCAGGAGGGGGCCATTATTTTGTTTTCAAATATTTTATAAGTTTTTTGTTTCATATTGAATACAAAATAATTAGGGTATATGTATGTATGTGTATATATATATATATATATATATATATATATATATATATATATATATATATATATATATATATATATATATATATATATATATATATATATATATCCAAATGTAAAAGAATGAAGAATAAAATTGCATGTAAGCCAAAATGAGATCGATTAACAGCATAATAAAAAATTATCCAAATGTTGGTCAGTTTTTTTGTCTTTATTTTCTCCTGAATTTAAAACCATTCTATTCAAAGCTTAGAACGGCTTATGATCAAACATAATAGATATTCGTTGTCTGTTATTTTTTTAACTATATATATATATATATAGATAGATAGATGAATATAGATATTCATCAGTTGTATATATATATATATATATACAACTGATGAATGCAATGTTGTAGGGTGGGGAATTTAACTGGACATGTCAATGATGGTCATACTCACTTTGTGTGTTGACAGCCAATATATATATATATATATATATATATATATATATATATATATATATATATATATTTTCTCGTTGAAACAACTATGACCTCTCCCTTATATATATACACACACACACACACACACATATATATATATATATGTGTGTGTGTGTGTGTGTGTGTATATATAAGGAGAGGTCATAGTTGTTTCAACGAGAGAAAAGTGTATATATATATATATATATATATATATACTAACAGCATCTATAAAAAATGTTTGCACTATTAACATATGGATCACCACTTCTATCTAGAATCAGTGTGCTTTGCTTAGGATGCCTACTGCATCTTCTGAAAAATAGTGTCATATATTTGCTGTCTGTAAAAAGTTTTACAATAAAAAATATATATATATATATATATATATATATATATATATATATATATATATATATATATATAGTAAGTCAGCCTACATCGTGCAGAGTTTTAAATAGTGATGTTCTGAACATCATATTTAAATAATTTTTGAAATTTCAAAACACCTTTAAACGTCCTTATGCACTGTTCCACATGTAATCTTATCACCTAATATCTACTGAAGAAAAGTAATCCCTACTGATATCATTCTTTGCCTGAGTTTTCTCCCTTACATTTGAGACATCTGTTGTGTTTGTAGTATTTGCTAATTATGTCATGTTTTAGTGTTATCCTTGTTTGAGAAATGACTTCACAATCTTAAGGTGATGATTATCCCAAGGGCAGTGATGAAAATCCAGAAGAGTTTAGAGAAGTACTGAGTTTCTCACAAAGGTTACAAGTGTTGGATGAGTTGAAGACATGTTGATGCCTAAAGTAGCACAGAAAGAAGAGGTTGATTTGAATAGTGTATGTGAAAGAAAATAGAAAAAGAAAAAAAAAGAAAATTCATAGAAATGTTAGTGTTTGAACTGCAATAGTAAAAACCTAATCCATCGTTCCAGGTAAATTGCTTGTAAAGACCAAGAAAGCATAGAATGCACAGCTATTGAAGCAGATATACTGTTGACAAACATTCTATATTAAAAGTCTCTTAACCAATAAAAAACATATAGTGAAAGGGTTGAGAAGCTGAATAACTTTAAATCTAGCTTCATAAAACATTAGAATTACAAAAGAATCATCAGCAGCTGATAGAGAAGCAGCATTTGTGTTTGCAGCAACACCTTAAAAAATTAATCAATGAAAAAGCCTACTGTCAAGAGAAAATCTTCAACAATCATTTTCTGGAAATAAAAGCTGAATTATATCTACATTCATAAGAGTGTAAACCAGGTTCCAGGATTGATGTCTTTTGAGGTGAGGCTTTGTTCAGTGGAAACACAGCAGTTCATATGATGAAGCCAGGTCTAGTGCAAAAATATACTGCTCATGTTCTGACAACAATATAAGCCTTATAGTGATCGAGGAAGCATCCTCTCCAAGAGTCTGTGGTACTTCCAAGAAGCTGTCGGAATGGAACTTTGTTCTTATCAATTCTGACTAATGCAATATAAAAGAAATAAGGATGATTCAAACTTGTGTATGCGACATTGTGGCTCCTAGCTGTAAATGTCTGAACTGGTGGAACTAAGGAATGTAGCTTTTCTGACAAAAGTTGAGTTCCCTGAAAAAAAGGTAATGTTGGGCATGTACTGGAATCATTTAGATATTATTTCTTTAGAGTTCTTAAGATATAATGAAACACTAAATGCACATTTATACATGTAGCAACTGCAACATGTCCACATTATGTTTTGTTGAAATGTGCTAAGTACTCATCAATAGGGAAATGTTGTTTTCTGACCTATCTATGGAAAGCCACATGCTACAAGAATAACACAGGAAAGATTTTGCAATTTAATTGGTCTGTTCTACCCCACCTGACATCTCACCAAGCAATTATTAACTCTTCCAATTTCTACTAAACACTTTGATAGCGAAAAAATTCTGTAATGAAAACCAGATTCAAAAGGTTGCCCAAAAATTTTCACGTCAAAACCTCAAAAGTTATTGCAAATAATGGTGAACATATAAGTGAATAAAACGTCATTGTCCTTTATTTTTTTAAGAATAAAGTTGGTAAACAAAAATGCAAATTATTTATAACTCAACCATATGTCATTCACCCATGCATTGAATACTGCTGCCATATCTGTAATCTGGTGCTTTTGTAGTACATCTTGAGATTCTTGACAAAATTCAAAGAAGAGTCAGTAATGTAATCGATCCTGACCTAGCATCTTGACTTCAGTCACTTTCTCACCAATGTGATGTGGCTTCCCTCTGTCTTTTCTAAAAATATTTTCAAGGCAACTGTTCTGATAAGTTTTTTCCTTAATGCCCTGACTGCATGAATTTAAGCGTGCTACTAAACTGTTGAACTAGCTAGATGCAACCATCATTTCTCTTCTAACAGTTTTTTCTCACCCTTTTCACCTGTGGAACTCCTTTAATTTGTTGCTCCAAATATATAAATATAGCAAATTAACTGAAAAGATTTAGGTGTTAGATTGTAGCATCTTTGAAAGGAAATTTTTAAATTTAAAGACACTCAATAACAGTTTAATTGAAATTTCTAGGCATTAACATTAGAATAACATAAAAATCTTTTCAGTTAACTTGCTGAATATTTATGAGTGTTCTTAAATTTTGAAATTTTAAGTAACTGTAAAATAGATACTTGTTGCAAAATAAAACCATCCCATTTGCCTTGATAAATTTCATTGAAAAACAAAACACATCAGCTACATTAAGTATAGTTTTCCTCTTGTCTTTTGGTTCATTTTGTCTCTTCTACAGATATATTCCACCTGAGAATATTTAAATACATACACACACATACATACATCCATGTGTGTGTGTGTGTGGAGGGTATAGAAAGGTAGGTAAGAGGATGCATATCTTAAATTGTTGAAGCATTTTTAATGGAAAGACAGCAAAGAGAAATCAACTATTTAACACTTACAGTGTTGTTTGTTGTAGGATCACTGTATTTGCAGGTGGCAAATCTGGTAAGCCCATCCTTGAAAACAAATATCCTCAAAGGGTCACATGATGTTATAAGGACATAAACACGGAAGTCAAATTTAAATCCATCTATTAAGAAAGGCTGAAAGATAAAAAGGAAAGAAAAAGAAGCATTTGAAAAATCATTTACTATGAATGGATCATCCTAATTGTTTTTCAGCTTAATGTAGTTAATTAATGCTTGACAACACCCTATAGCCTTTTTAGGCATTCCAAATCTAAAATTTTGTGCTACTTAATAGCCACCTTACACTGTCCATCACTTTTTAAATATTTTCCAAGTGCAAAATTTTGATGCACCTAATAACTCTCTTGCAGCCTTTTGAATCATTATAAATATAAAATGCTGATGTGCTTAATAAATAATAATAGTTTGGGACTGTGGTTATTGTTGTGAATAGAGTGATACCTAACATCACAACCTCCTTCAGCAAATGCAAGAGTTGCAATAATAGCAATATGGCAAAAGCTTGCTTGTTTGTCATTAGTTAATCTTTGCTGAGGGCACATGGACAATAATGTGAACTAAGCATTCCTAAGTGTTTGAACACTTTCAACCAACTTTGCTATAATGGCTAAATGTCAACAGCTTCATTGTTAGCTAGATTTAGACAAATCCAATTCAAATCTCTATAATATTGTCCTCTAATTCTTTGACTGATTTGCCAATAATCTTGATCCTTTTCTCAAAACTGACCGATAAACATTTCTAACATTCAAAGAATTACATTAAAATTTATACTAAAAACATCAAAGAAAATATACCCAGTGTTATACAAGTAACTTGTGTGAATATTTTTATTCTTTCAGATTCCTTTTCTATTTTACCAGTAAATTGTCATGAATTCTTGGAAAATATAATGGATTAGTTTAATTTTGTTTTTTTGTTTTTTTCATGGTTTTCAATTCATCATCTTTCTTCATTTTCAAGCCTCCACTATGGATCACTACCTCTACCCAAGTTCTGAGTATGAGCGTGCTTTCAAACTCATTCAGAAATACCTAAACTGTCAGTTTTATACAACCGCTTTCTAAGATCAATGGTTAAAAATGACTTTGAATAAGTGGAGCATGTGAATCTTGACAAAGACCATACTTCTTTGAACATTGTGGACTGGCACTGCAGAATCACAAAAAAAGAACTGAACCAAATAACAGAAACCACATCACTTGAGGACTGACTATAGCTAAAATGAATGCCACATAATAAAATGATGACATTCCACACAACATCAAATAAAAGGTTAGGAAATATACAATAATAAAAAGAGTTATAACAGCTACTGGATTAGAGAAACCTATTTTCCTTTAAGTGGTTTTAAGAGAAAAAATTTATAAATTTCAAGCAAAAGCAGCACAGGCTGCTCAGTCAATGAATGCTGAATGTTTCCTTATAAGAAAACGACTAATATTACCATTATTATTTCTTAGGATCAAAGCATCAATCCTTAATACTTCTGAGGATTAGTGCAGTATCTCTGCATTCTGTAAAAGTGTTGCACTCAAAAAAATATAACCAGTAGGACTACATCTTACCCAATTTTAAAATGTCTGGTTTTGAACATACAAGATTTTTTTTTTATATATATCTTTAAAATTAAAAAAAAAATCAATTCTTAATGTTCTGTTTCACACAAACCACGTCACTTAATGTATGGAAGAAAACTAAACTATTTCATTATCTTTTTCCAGAGTTCCAAACTTCCTTGCTATGTGTTGTAGATGCCACATTTATTTTAAACAGTATATTTATTTTTGTCTACCAGCCTGAATAGTATAACTTTTAGTAAAATTTTTAATGCAATTATAACTTTATAATCTATATTATAACTTTCAATGCAATTAACTTGCATTAAGAGTTATACTAAAAACTCTAAAGAATTCATACTCAATCCTTAAGTAATGGATTTTTTATTTAATTTATTTATTTATTAATCTAACAAATTTTTATCCCTTTAAACATTATTTCTAGCAGATACCCATATTTGAGTGGATACTTCATATTTTTAAACAGTATATTTATTTTTTATTTATATTTACTTACTGACCTGAATATTCAAGAAATCTTATTAAAGAAAAGGTTTCTGCTGCAAAGGGGGATGCTTCTTTTCTGTTACTTATAAAACATTGTATAAACAGATACAACTGTCTAGTAGAATCCATTTAGAAAGTTACACATGCAATGAATTTGGTTATATATTTGGGAAACAAATTACTAGATGATCAATTTCATTACAATATATATATATATATATATATATATATATATGTGTGTGTGTGTGTGTGCATACAGGGTACAATGGGTAAATTGTCACCATTTAATATTTTTAATTTTATGCATGTGCAGTATAGTAGGGTCAGTTGGGTACCATGTATGAGAAAAAGAACACCATGACGCAATTCACTCTGCCAGAAATTTGCAAACAACATGCTGTATTGGTTGCCATTTGTGACAGAAGCTCCAATATGAACATTTTAGAGAGGTTTTGGTATCAATCTGACAACAGTGCAGAGGATTTGGAAAGAGCTGAATGACTTTAATGGTGATTACCAATGAGCACTTGGAGTGATCACTAGTGATAGCAACATTATGTCTCCATTCATCCTCCCACAGTGCCTCAGACTCAACAACACAGAGGCCTACATCAAGTACCTTGAGGAGGTAGTTTTGCCCTGGGTCAAGATGCTGGCTGCTGGAAGAGCCTATGTCTGGCAACAGGACTTTGCACCATACCACAGAAGCAGGAGAACCCAGTCATGGCTGTCAGACAATTTCTGCAGCCACATCAACCCTTACATCAGGCCACCTAACTCCCCATACTGCAACCCTCTTGATTATTATGTGTGAGTCACAGCTGAGTGAGAAACCAACAAAACTTCTTGTAACATCAGAGAGGAAGGCAAGGATTATTCACCAACTTAAACAATGAGATTGTCCAGAAAGAGTTTCAGGAGATCCTGAAGCCGTCTGGAAGCAGTTTTTTGAAGCCAATGGAGATTTTATTGAATGAATTTAATCTTTAGTATTTCAAGATGTTTTTGCACAATCTTGGTAAATATATCTATTAAAATGAGATGTCAATGTTATTTACATTTTTGCATAATTTAGATGATGATTTATCCATTGCACTATATATATATATATATATATATATATATATATATATATATATATATATATATATATATATATGTGTGTGTGTGTATATATATATATATATATATATATATATTTTAGTTTCAGGAGAAAATAAAGACAAAACTGTTCAACATTTGGATATTTTTTATTATGCTTTTCATAGAACCACATTACGAATTTACAACATGCGTCTGCTATTCTGCAAATTTTATCATCCTATAACAAACTTCTACGTAAACATATTAGTATGTCATGTATTTTGATGGTGAACATCTTTGTTGTAATGTCCATATAACCACTCTGATGGTGGCTCATGTGAGGCAAAAGTTTTGATTGATGAACGGCATAATAAAAAGTATATACAAAGGTTGGACAGTTTTTGTCTTTTTCTCCCAAAACTAAAGCCACTTTACAAAGCTTAGAATGGCTCATAATCAAACATAACAGACATTCATTTTCTGTTATTTTTAACAATAAATGTTTGAATTCTACAGAATTGGAATTTTGCTATTATTATAGGAAGGAATACCAACTAGGTAACTTTCAATTTTAAACTAGTTGGGTGTAGTACTAGTAACTCCATGCATAAAAAACCTACTTGCTATAGAAACCACAGCATGGGTGAGGCAGTAGCTCTATGCATTTTTTAAAAATATTGGTATTAATTAGCAGTAAAGCCACTAAGACACAAGGAGTTACAGGGTGTAGAAGAATTAGGAACAGAAACATTAATAATGAGCAGGAAGAGGAAAGAATAATCAGGAGGACAGTAGATAGTGATTGACATTGCATTTAAATTTTTGCAGATTAAATTTGACTGGAAAGGATGGAGATAAAAGGGAATTCCACAAGTGAGAAGTGTGTGAAAAGAAACTGTTAGCATAGAATTTACAGTTACACGTAGCCAGCTCAACTGTAAATTGACCAGATCTTGATGCCAGTCTAGTACTGTGCTTAAATTCAAAAAGTTTAGATACAATTGTGAAGACCTCATCTGAACAATTCCCATGAAAGTATTTATAAAAAACGCACTGAGAGGTAACCTTATGACAGTGGGAAAGTGACTAAAGCCAAACCACCAGATCAGGACCAATAATATTGCTGATTCTTCTTTGGATTTTATTAAGGAACTCAAGGTAAATAACAGGGGTACTGAACCATATGTAGCAGCAATATTCTAAGCATGGACGAATGGTAGACTAATAGATAAGACTTATAGACTTAACAGGAGAACTTACAGAACTTACATACATATATACATGCATATAAATGGCTGGCTACTCATTAGCAATTATACCTGCTAGGGTAGATAGCTAATCTGTTACAAATGCCTGCTCAGGTATATTTGTATTTCTTCAACACCCATAGAGCCTACCTGCAATTTAGACTGAAACTATGCCAATCAGACTTTAGTTAAAATTTGTGAGAGAGAGCATATAATCTAGCATTATGAGTAGTTGAACAAGTCCAGTTCGCTTGAATCCTCGATCAGGAAGACTTTTGATTTTGTGCTACAGCAACCATTGATGACTTCTAAACAGTTTTGTCTAAACAATTTTCTCTCTCAAAGCTTGGGTAGTATTTAGAGTGGTATTATTTTCAGGCATGTCACCATCATGCCACATGCTGGGATTGTCTCCCTGGAACAATATTATCAAGAAGTCACCTCCTTGGAAAATCAGTCATAGTGAGATTAGAACATGAGTTTCAGGGTTGGAATACTAACATTCTCATCACTCAGCCATTTGCCCATATGTACATACTTTTGTTTCCCTAGCACACACATCTGTTAAAGTCACTAACCAATTTCTGTCGCAGACACCTGCTCAGGCACATTTGTGTTTGTTCAACACCCATAGAACCCATCTGTGGTTTATACCACGACTATGCTGAGCAGACCTTTGTTACAGTGGAGGGAATGCATACTCTAGCATGATCATCAGTTGGAACAACACCAGTACACTCAAACCCTCGATCACAATGGATTGTGACTTGTACTAGCACAACTATCAACAGCTTTTGAACAGTTCCATCTACACAATTTTACTCATAATGCTTAGGTTAACCTGTGATATGGTTTTCAGGCCCTTTTCAAAGGGTGCTGAGAATATTAAGATTGCCTCTCCAGATGATAACATCAAAAAGTCTCCTTCCTGACAAATCAACCATCATGAGATTTGAAACTAAGTTTCATGGTCAGAAAGCAAATATTCTAACCACTCAACTGTGCACCCATCTATATATATATATATAAATAAATATATGTATATATATATATATAAATAAATATATATATATATATATATATATATATATATATATATATATATAGATGCACACATACATACACAACTTGTATTCATATCTGAAGGTGATTTCTTGATACATACATATATAGGTAAGCTATGATAAATATGGGAATAAAATAGGTCTCAGGACAGTTAAGAAATTATGAGAAATTTGATTATATGTTTCATTACAGACGACTACATGTTCAAGAAGCCATTTGTCATGATGAACCACTTGCTAAATGAATATTTAATATAATTAGTATTCTTCTTGTCTTTGAAACATTATATAAATTGCCATTAATTGCTATCAAAGTTTGAAGAAACTGTTTCTAAAAAAGTAGAAAAGACAAAGGTGGTAAGTTTAATTTAAGATGCTTTCAAGATGGCTTAGTGGTTAAAACTTAGGGCAACAAAATCTTTGAAAAATATAAAGAAATTAAAACAAACCTTAACAGACAAAAGGAAATTCAATATTGGAGAAGATGTCATGTGATGTTTAACATCTTTACATAGAGAATAGCATATTAGATATAGGAAAAGAGAACATTTTAAATTCTAATTAACTGCTGATATTATTTGGTGGAAATGTCTAGTAGAATAACCCTGGCAAGAATTTCTAATAAAACAACATGTTAACTTTGTGTTAGAAATACAACCCAGAAAAAGTAATCACACATCAATGGATATTATCATCTATCAGGAACTGTTTTATGAAATCATTAAATTAGCAAAGAAAAAAAAAGAGTATGTATTTAAAAGATAATTTATTAAAAATAAGACATGAAAGTTTTCATTTACGCAATTCAATCACCAAACTAGTTTGGCATATTTATCATATGTTTGCGCATTAAATTGAGAAAAGCATGCATTTGTGCACTTGCATGTCAGATCAAGAGAGTGTCAATAAAAATAATAAGAAAAAATAAGAAAAAATGAAAAAAAAAAGAAAAAAAAAAAAAAAAACAGATACTCTAATCTTAAACCTCTTTTCCTGCAAGGCTTGATTTTTTGAATTTATTATTGCTTTTCAAATTCATGATAAATTGTATAAAACTTAAAACTTGTCGATATTTGCTTCTCAAAAAATGGCAGGTCTACTCTGTGATTTGCTTGCATAATCGAAAACTTTCATGCTTGATTTTCAATAGATAATCATTCCTTTCACTTGGTGATTTCTTAAAACAGTTCCTGGCATCCACTGATGTCTTTTTTTATGTGTAATTATTTTGCCTGCTATATTTCTCAAGTAGTGCCAAAGTCTCATTTTACAAAATTTTCTTCTTTTCTGTGTCATTGATATTCAGTTTTTTGAGTTTTTTTTCCAAACTGTGGACATGCTATAGTGAAATGAGAGAAAAATAATGACTTAGTATGAAATCTCCTGGGCTATAAGCAAAATTTTTAATCTCCAAAGAATACTGATACCATCTTTTATAACAAGAGAAGTTTCCTTCATACTATTCAATCCTCAGGTTTTATCTGTAATTGCTATAAACACTATATAAAACTTTCTTCTTATTATAATTATTCCCTAAAAAAGCAACATTAAAACATGTTTTAAAAGCATCTTTGTAAAAGAATATAAACAAAAAAGTAATATTTCAGTGGTAAAGAGTGTGCAAAATATGGTAGAATACCCTCAACCAAGCCTCTTAAAAGCCTATGGCAATATTTTACCTCATACACACACACACATATATAAGGGTGGATCAATAAATCCATATGTTAACATAATTATTAGATGACTTTTAATCTGAAATTTTCACTGAATAATGTTGTATCAATATGATTAAAAGAGAAATTGGAGATTAAGTGCATTCATATACTTGTGTAAAATGAATGCTCTTTTTTTTCATTCATTAGGCTATGGACATTGATGCATCTATTTGCTATATATATATATGTGTGTGTGTGTATATTGATGTAATAGGAAAGAACAGTTAGGTTGATGATCCAAAGTTCTTTAGTATTTTTGTTTTTATTTATAAAAAATAGTGCTCGAAACAGAACTAGAGCTAAAAATTATAATAATTTTTTTTTTAAAAAATATGATTCCATCACGACACAGAAATTATTGTTTTGAAAATGAAACTCATGTGCCGAAGTTTAATTTCAATATATATATATATATATATATATATATATATAATTAAAATGAATGATGGTCCATGTGTGTTTCTTATAATATATAGATTTAATAGGCCTATTAATGAAATTTAAGGAATAAAAAAACAACAAAATGATAACAATATTAGCAACAAAACTGATGAAATTGATGATATATTAGGCTTTGAACTAAACTGAATCATGAAGTGAAAGATTTGAAATTTGAAATGCCTGTGTCCTTTTTCAATGAGATGAGGAATAAACAAAGAAGTGGGACTTATTCTTCTGGTGAATGTTGTTGTTGGTTAGAGGGCTTTTTCTGGAAACTATATTTTTCTGAGTAAATCCAAATTCCTGTTTAATCCTTTAATATGTGATTCTATTTTGAAAATGTATTTTAACTCCAATGTGCATCTTTCTTGTTGGGTGTTAAATGAAGACACTAAAAGTACACATCTATGTCATCAGTACTATGAAATGGTTGGTTTAAGTGTGAAACAGAGAAATTGGTGTTTGATGTTTTTTTTTTATGGTTATTGAACTGAAGACAGAATCCTGTGCCTGTTTCTCCAACATAATTCTCTTTTTTGCATTTGTGGCAGAAAAAGTAAATATATGAGATTAGAACTGTCATAAGTCAGAGCCAGTGGTTTGAATATTGTGTGAGTGCTGGGGGAGAGGTGAAATTGCTATCAGTGATGATATGTTTACAGACTTGACATCAAGGTTTATTGCAGGTTTATTGCTGTAAAAAAATATCAAAGAAAAAAGAAAAAAACATCAAAGACAGCAACAACAATTTCCCTATTGCTGCACACTTCAACCAATATATGACTATCTCCACCTGACAGACACTGCGATTTATGTAAATTAAAGAAACTGCACATATAAATTTTCCAAAAGAAATTCATGAAAAAATTAAAATTCAGATGTTAGCAATATATGAAAACCAGTAATAAAAAAATCTAATTTTAACAGTTAAGACTTTGCATAGTAATGTTTGACACAAAACAAGTGGAAGTCATATATACAATCCACTGGTAAAGAAGCTGGAAAAATAATTGGCTCTTGAAAGTACTGACTCCTTCTGCCAAAAGTCAGATTAAACCAAAAGTTAAAACATTGCTTCTATATCTGGACTGGAGCTGTTCAATCCTCAATTTTCAGCCTTGATAAGAATTCAAAATTGTTTATATGATCTTTACCATTATTCTATTGCTATTTCTTTGACAAATGTTCAGATGAGCTCCATTCTTTAGTTCCACCAGTTTGGATCTTTACAACTAGGACATTCCATGTTACTTCTACAGGCTTGAATCATCCTCATTTCCTCTGTATTCCAAATGTAAGAAGTAAGTTCCACTAAAACAACTTTTGCTCGAAAACCACGACCTTGTGGAACAAACTCTTGCAGGGTTGCTTCCTCCAGGAATTTTAACCTCTTCAAGTCAAGGATCAATCATTATCTATCCTCTTTATCCTAACAGTAACCTTCTATTTTGAGAAGCTCCTGAGCTTTGTATTGGGTGAATTTTAATATAAAAATTTATTCTATACTAATAAGCTCATCAATGCATTCCTCAATATAGCCAAAGAAAAAAGCTGATTCTTGTCTATAAACATGAAAACAATAATAATGAGACCTTAACACTCAGTCCTATGATTCTCTTAGATTGTAGTATTCTAGTTAAGGAGATGAACAAGAAAAGAAAAAGTATTAACGCTACTAATCTGAGACTGTAACAGTAGTAGGGTTTGAGCTTAGAAGATGAAGAAGGAAAAGTAATAATTAAGTTCAGTAAACCACTAACTGTAACCTACACATATGCAAAAGGCTGAAGAATATATCAGTAAGAATGTGTTTAAAACATCAAAGATAAAAATAAAAAAATCTGTAATATAATAAACTTCGATATCCTTTATGTCAGAACTTTGAAAAGCTTGAGAATATATTTATTGGTTGAAATTGAAAACATCAGTGATAAAAACAATAAACCAATAAAGAAATTCTTGGGATTATGACAATAATTTTTTTAAAGCTTTAGAAAACAATTTAATACCTGCTGTCCATCAAAAATATGTCAATCATTGACAAAATAGTAAAATGAGAAATGTGTTACCTTTGATATATACACTTGACAAATCATGTGTTCATTTGGTTTAATCTCCTTAATGTTCTTTGTCACCCAGATGCCTTTGCCTTGACATCCAGATTCAGGTTTAAGGATGTAAGTTTTGTTTTTCTTCTGGCGGGTAAAGGCTTGGAAATCACCATAACTTCAAAGACAATCAAATAAACAGCAAAATCAAAACACATTTTTCATGTTATAAATACTTGTCACTAATTTGTCTGATACAGATAAATTGTAACATATGATTGGTTTGGTTTAGTTCATTTTGTTTTATGCTATATCAACCTCAATGGGTTATTTAATGCCAACAAGATTTCCAAGATAGATTCGTATGAATAGAATATGTATTCTTTGTAAGAAATCAGTTTGTAGATCAGGTTTCATTGATTTATTTTTGTAAAGAGTGTTTTTGTCGAAAGTCAGATGTATTGCTGGTAATATTTTTTTCAAAAAATGTATGGCTGGTATTTTTAGTATGAAAACCTATTGTTACACTTTCATACTGTTTTGACCTCAGTTTGGGGGTTAACTGTTTGTCCATAGCTGGGACCCTAATAGGTGCTACAACCCTGGGTCAGGATGGACTTGGAATAACAGCAATTTAGAAGTGGTTCCACACATTTTAAAATGTTCTGATCAGAGGTCTTGCTATTTGATGTAGTTTGTAACATGAATAAATGAAGCAAACAAGCAGAATGGAAAGGCAAGAAGTGAGAGGATCTTACTTGTAATATATCCAGAAAGGGCAAAGGGCAAAAGCTAGTGGTATGTTCTATGAACTTCAAAGTGCCATGAGGGCTATTCTGTTCTTCCTATCAATGTGGGTTTGAGATGATGTCAAGCACCTTAGCAGTATATCATCGGCTACTGATGTGAACATATATCTCTTGTCTCTATGTGTACTAAGTAGCAACTCACCTTTTGTCAGCTATCATGGGACCCTCATGACTTTATTATAGCCAAGGGAAATAACCCCCCTTTGTATCCTGGCAATGTAAATTTCTTTTTTGTTTCTTGTTCTTATATTAATAAAAGTGTTGATTTGTGAATTTGATGATATCATAATTGTGAGTTCAATCCCTGAGCCAGGTAGTGTTCTTGGATCTAGTGAAAACGGGTGAGTAGTAACTGAGCAGCACTAAAATAAGAACTAGATGAAATATTCCTAGGCATGAGCAGTCAAACAAGATCAATTTACCTCCATAGATTAAATAAAGGATTCAGCTTAAAATTCCCGGTAGGTTACTCATATTGACAAGCACCTAATGAAGGCCTGAGGGCACAATGGTCAAAACATTCTGATAACAACAAAGATGAAGACAACAGATCACATGTAAATAGAGTAAATAATGATAATTTCTCATTCCAAAAATTCAAAGAGAAATTAATTAAATTTATAAATTTCTATTCAAATATTTCATTAACATTCTTCTTCTTCTATATGCCGTATCCCTTCAAGACGTTGGTGATCATAGCTCTCCATGATTTCCTGTCTGCTATAGCTCTGAATAAATTTTGTCTTTTTACCATCCCTCTCAAATCCTGCTCCATCAACTATTCACTCAAGCTCACTTTGTAGGTTTTGTGTTACTTTCCTCTGTCTCACTTACCTGTAATCCATCCTGTGAGTATCAAATTTTCCAAGCTCTCTATCTGCATTATATTCTCTTGAAATGTTAAATATAAATATCCTTTTTGTTGCCACTATCTCTTGAAATTGTTTGTTGCTCACATGTTCATTCCATGGTATTCTCAGCATCCTTCTGTAGAACCACATTTCAATTGCTTCATGACTCTTCTTCATCTGTGAGGGGATTATCCAGCATTCAATGCCATATAGGAGGACTGCTATTACATAATAATTCAGTATTCTTTTCAGTGTTTCTAATGATATTTTCCTATTTCTTAACACATTGCTTAGCTTTAGGAAGGCATCTTTCACTATCCCAATCTGCCTTCGGATTTCTATGTCACATTTTCCATACTCTGTTAAAATGCTTCTCAGATATCTAAATTGTTACATTTGTTTGACTTCAATAACTCCAATTTGTAATATGCATGTTCGTCTGTTTCCTTTTGCTAGGATTACAGTATTTAATCACATATAAGCTCACCTGCTCAACTTTATTTCTCATGTTAATCTACCTGATTGGATATTGTTTAATCAGGTGCTCCAAATTATCAGTACTGCATAATACTAATTGTATACTCATTGTACCAACTTCAGCATACTAAGTGTATATTTGTACCAATTTCATAAACACTAACATTAAATTAAAGTTGGGGGGAGGTGAAATCTTTTATGTCATAAAATATGTTTATTGACATCATGCTCAAAAAATTACAGATGTATATATTTAATTTTGTCTTGCACATAACATAAATGTTTATCAATACATAAATGCATACAGATCTGAGTATAACTATACATGCTGGTGTGTACATTTGTGGATAAATGTTTATGAAACTTCAACTAGTCTGACACAAGGACAAATAAAATAACTGGGAGTGATAATCCAGAATACTTACTGGGAACAAACTGGCTACATACACAGAGAAAATGAATTGAGCAAGAAAAAAATAGAAAGTAGAATAAAACAAGGGTGTGTCTTCTCACCAAATCTATTTGACCTTTACAGCGAGGTAATCTTAAGAGAGCTGGAGATTCTGTCAGGATTTATTATTAATGGCCGAAAGCTCAATAACATAAGATATGCTGATGATACAGATGGCAGACACAGGAAGAAAACTGCAGCTCCTTCTAGGCAAGGTGGTAAAGGACAGTGAGAACAAAAGGAGCAACCCTCAATTGTAAGATGACACAATGTATGGTACTTAACAAAGGGACAGCCCCAGGTGCAAACTAACAATTGGAAATGTCAAAATCAAGCAAGCAGAGAAATTTAACCTTTTTTTTTAGTCATTTCACCCCCCAGCAAAGCAATGCAAGAGGTTAGTAAGTGTTAGACAATATGAGAAAATCTATCAAGGAGAAGGAACAGTAAAAGAATAAAAAAACAGAAGATTAACAGTTTAAGTTTTTAAAGATCAAAGTTGGCTGGAAATCATGGAGCCAGAAGAGATTTCCACAAGGGAGGAATTGCTCCTGCTATATATCTCAAGATTCTTGAAAGATTCAAAGAAGGGTCTGTAATATAACTGATCCTAACTTGGTATCTCGACTTCAACCATGATCTGACTTTCCTGTTTCTTTTCTACAAATATTTTCATGACAAATTGTTCTGATGAGCTTTTCTTCTTAGTGCCTCAACTTTTAAGTGTGCTGCTAGATTGGCAACAAGGTCTCACTGTTTTACTGTTGAACTAGCTAGATGCAACCACAACTTCTATTTTAAGAGCCTTTTTTTATCACACTTCTCACCTGTGTAACTCCCTTCTGATTTTTTGGTCCCCTACTATCTTCAAAAATTTAAATGTAATTTCAATTGACATTTTCTGTTTTCTTGAGCTTTGTTCTTTTTCTGTCTGAAAGTCTTCTCATTCTCTTTCACTTCTTGTAACTATGTCCTAGGGGCATTATTACCTTGCTTGGGGTGAAATGATTAACACAAAAAACAACACTTTATCCCATAAAAAACCAAGAGTATATTTTTAGACATTTTGAGATTCTGAGATAAATTATTTTTATTATGTCCTTTTTTTTAATGATAAGGAAACTTATCAAAATGAGTATTAATAAAAAAAAATATATTGCCTTTCTTTGTTGCTTTTTAAAACTTTTGTTAATTATTTGTGTGGAATCAATAACAAGGAAAAAAATTCAGGATTTTTATGCATCAAAAATTTAATTGGAATTTATTGTTAGCATTCTTCATGAAATCATTTTATTTTCTCAAAACGTTTTTGATCTGTCACAACTGCATTTGATTAATTCAAATTATTTTAAATAGTGTCTCATTTGGTTTTGAGAAATGTTCTTTGAACTCAGCTGTGATCATTGTTTTTCTCTCTTTATTTCACATTGTAAAAAAAATCATCAGAATTGATGAAATCAGTTCTTTAGATAACAGGATCTCCATTGGTATGCACACACACAAATAAATATGTATATAGAGAGAGAGAGAAAGAGAGAGATAGATGCACACTTATATATTCATATATACACATACACAAATGACCACATATACATAAATGGATGTTTCTATGTTATGTATATGTAAATGTTTATATATGATAATTTCTTGACCCAATTAGCATCCCAAATTCTGACCAAATATCAGAAATTTTTAAAATCCCTTCTTGGTGAATACATTTTGCAAGTTGAATTTGAATTTCTAGTGTAGTAATATCCTTCTATGGCAACACCTAAAACAATCTTGACTGAAATTGAGAGCCAGGATACTGCAGTTTCAAATATATGAAACTAATATATAAAACACTATATTTTGAGGGGATTTCATATACAGTAAAAGAGGAAGTAATATTTATAAATGATACAGAATGCTAAATATTAAAATCAAACCTAATATTCAGCACAAACTTCTGTTAGCCTGTACTATAGAAGTCCTGTTCTATAATAATCTAGTAAATATATACACACAAACTGATGGTATAGCTATGGGATCTCCAACTACCTTCTTTATATAAATGTCATACTACTACTAATAATAATAATTTTTAACACACCAGAAAAAACACCTGAATACTGATTGATTTGTTTTCTATGGCTTATCAACCATTTGCAGGTTATTTAAAGCCATAAAATGTTTTTAGATTGTAAGAATATTTTTTAGATATTAATGGCTTAATGACACAAGTTTTACTAATTAACCCATAGCTGGGTAAAAAGAGGGGATTCAGACCTTCCCCTAATTCCCATTGGAAATTGGTACTTGACTTTCCGACAAACAATTATACATTACACCACCCACACATCCAAGCTTACAGCATCTGGTATTCCTAAGTCATCATCCATCTAGGTAGTGACCAGGTTCGATGATGCTTAAATTTGGTGATCATACAGGAACCAGTGTTTCAGCATGATATGGCAGTAATATATTCCTTTTCATAAAAGATCTTGATCAGATAAAAAATAATAATAAAAAACGGAACTAAAAAAATCCTTAGAAAGTAATACTACACTTAGTTTTACATATGAACTCAACATCAATTAAAATAAACAAAAATAAACTAACCTTTTCTAACTTTATTATTTCAGTATAGAAAATGCAAACTAACCAGGAAACATTTTGCACCTCCACTTAATACACACAAGCTTGGGTACTTTGATATTTTGTAATGGTTAACCAGCTTGTCTCGCCAAATCAATAACTACTGACTTTGATCTTCATTAGGTGCACCTTACTTTTGGCCTTGTGCTATATTTAAGTTTTGATAGCAAATTATTATTGGACATGTTGTTTTTCAAAGAGGAATGATAAATTATTACTTTTCTGTAAAGACCAACAAAAAAGTGACTTAAAAAAAGTCTACTTTGCTGATGTTTTGGCTAGATGAGAGTTCAGATTTGAGAGAATATTTGGTCTCACATTAAATGCAAACTAATCAAGAAACATTTGTCAAATATTCATCAACAGTTTAAAACAATCAATATTGAATGGAACAATATTGATTCTTTTTTGTAGCAAGTTTACTGACAACACTTAAACATTTAAAGAAATCAAAGAGAAAAGCTGTACCATCCTAAGTTGCTTTAGTTATTTGTTTAATTCTAGCTTATTTCCAAATCAATTTATTTGTTGTTAAAACCATTAAAAGCTTAATATTTTGTCATTTTGGGCTTGGCCCATTCTCTTTTGAAAATTTTTATATATTTATTTAATGTTCTATTTTGTAATATTGATTACTTTATTTACAAAATCTACTGGCCTTAAAAGCTTTATCCTTCAGTAACATACTCAGGAGATAAATGCTCTTAAAATGACCTCCAATCAGCTATTAACTAGGACAAGAAATGGCATGTAAATTTGAATGCCTCTAAAATTAAAATGCTATTCTTTAATCATCATAGAGAACCATTTGATGCATGGTTGATGGGAACCATCTGGAGAGCAACTCATTGCACCTTCTTGGTCACTTTTTTTTTTTACTTACAGGAAGTGAAGCAATTACATTGAATCTAATGCAAGGTCTGCTGTTAGGAAGGTTGTGCCAGACAGTTTTTCTTGTCAGAATCCATCTAACAAATTCTTAAATTTATCATTCCCTCATGCATTAAATATTGCTGCCATATTTGATCAGGTTCTCCAGCTATATATTTCATGATTCTTGACAAAATTCAAAGAAGAGTCTGTAATGATATCAGTCCTGATCTAGCATCTCGACTTCAGTCACTTTCACACAATCATGATATAGCTTCACACGGTCATGATATGACTTATCTCTGTTTTTTCTATAAATATTTTCATAGCAGTTGTTCTTAAGTGCCTTGGTACCTTGACTACATGAATTTAAGTATACTAGATTGGCAACTAGGTCTTGCCATTTTAATGTTAAAATAATGAGATGTAACCATAAGTTCTGTTCTAATAGTTCCTTTTCTTGTACTTCTAGCCCACAGAACCCTCTTCCAGTTTCTTGCTTCTGTGCTACCAATAATCTTCAAAAATTTAAATGCAACACCAATCACCTCTCTTTTTGAAACATGAACTTTTATTAACCATTCACCTTATTAAAGTCTTCTCATTATCTCCCAATCCGAGCAACACCTTGTGTCTTACTTAGTGTGAAAAGATTTTTAAAAAATGCATATACTGTTTAAACTATAAGAATAAAGAGAGATTTGAGCTCTGTCTAACCATTAGGCTTCTATGGACAAATCAGTTAAGCATTGTCTATGTAAGACAAGCTCTCATGAAATGGAATTCAAATATTGCTAGCAGTTACTTAAATGTTTTTTTTTTATTTGACAATCAAAGTATATTTGGACCTAGAACATTAACATAAAAAGGATCAAGAAGAAGAAATACTATTTAAAATTAAAAATTAAAATATTTTGTCAGTATTCAAAAATTTTAAGACCAGAAGCATAAATTCATTTCTGCAATTGGTGTTTCTTGTAAGGAATGATTAATGGCACAATGTTTTGAGCAGAATGTCTAATAAGACAAGTAAACCAAACACTTACTCAGCAGGAAGGCACCAGGTTTTGGGAAAAATGTTGTAATCCTTGGGGAACATCTTTAGCATGCGGCTCATGTTTCTGGCCAGTAAATCTTTGCGACAAATTTCATTCATACCTGGAAAATGATTGATTTTCTGAAAAAGAAGGAAAAATAAAAACAAACATTCTTATTCAATTTGAAACGAGGTAGACTTTTGCAAAAATAAAAACAAACCTGTAAAAATGATGAAACAAACCAAACCATTTTTTTAAATATGTCCACACCAAAAAAAAAAAAAAAAAATTTTAAATTGAGAGAGAGCAAAAATTATGGAAAGTTTTAATAGGTTAAAAAAAGATCATCACATCATCACATATTTTTATTTACTTTGGATTTAAAACATTTTCTAACTTTGAATAACTCTCAAAAGTATTTGTCTCTCACTTTTAAATACAAAATTGTGGGTTGATGTCTGTCAGAAGACTGGCAAGGCAAAAGAAATATTTTTCTCAAAGAATATTGTTTTTATATATACCGTGTGTAACAGCAAAATTGTCCAATTGTTAGACTAAGCTTTGAACCATTGTATCTTAGAGCTGATTAAAAATATCATACTAGAATTCTCTGAGGTTTTTATAACACTATTGGACTCTAATTGTATAATTACTCTCCTAGCTTAACAGAAAATCATGATGAAATCGATCATAAACGAAAATGACATGTTCATCATTAATTAATCATTGGATTGGAAGCTCATGAAAGATTGAAAATAAGTTCAAATATATTTTTTTTTTTCAAGATCATTTTCCAAATTATTCAAGATGATCTTCACCTCTCTAACCTTCTAACTTTCTTTCCTGAACTAACAACGTGCTTCACATATTTCACGTGCAATTTCATTTCCAAGTCTTTTTTTGCTGAAACTCCTCTCTCATGAGTCAAATGTCTTATGAATTGAGTTGGATCTTTTCTAATTGATTTCTTTAGCTCTAAGTTGATGATCCCTCTTCCTGTTGTGACCTCCTGATCCAGTTTTCCTCTCTACTGTTCTCTCTTTTTTAAACTTATTCACCATTCTCTTGATGGTTCTTGAATAGACTTTGAAAATAAAAGCCAGAGTATGAAAGTTGGTACCATTACTGAAGGCCAGAATGATTTTTTTCTCTCACCATTGCTCAGTTGAGAAGACAGTGGGGCTGACACAAAACGATTTCAACCAGTTCTCTTTCTAGCTGAATAACTCAAAGAGTTTTTCAGTGATTCTTATAACAAATGGTATCAAGATGGCTAAACGTCTTATCTGAAAACCTAGAAAAAAAGAAATTCAATTACTTTATTGGCTTTTAGATATTAAACATTTTTTAGGATGGACAATTTTGCTGTTACATCCGGTATATTTTTATCATCACCCCAAGTAAGACAGTAAAGCCACAAAGATGCAAAGTGTTACTGAGTATAAGAGAATATGAGAAAAAGGAAACATTATTAAGGAGAGAGAACAATAAAAGAACCAGATAACAACTGACATTGCAATTAAACTTTTCAAGATCAAAGTTTACTGAAAAGCAAGAAGCCAGAAGAGAGTTCCACAAGTGAAAAGTGTGATAGAAGAAGCTGTTAGCATAAAACTTACATTTAGCCATTTCATTTGTAAGATGATGCCTTGTTGCTAATCTAGAAGTGTGCTCAAATTCATAAAGTTTAGGTAGTAAAGAGGAAAGCTCATCAGAACAAGTACGGCAAAAAGATTTTTAAAAAAGGCACGGAGAAGTTACATTAGGGTGATGAGAAAGTGACTGAAACTGAGATATCGGGTCAGGAATAATAACATTGGAGATTCTTCTTTGAATCTCATAAAACATATCAATCTCAAAATGTATAGCAGTATAAGATCTAGTTTCTTCATCTTTGTTTTTTTTATCATATCCTTTAGTTCACTGTACTCTACAGCCTTCCTTATATGTGGAGAAATGAAAATGGAGAACAGAAATGATGTCCTTTTGGACTGTTCTGTATTTCCATTTCATTGGATGACAAATGGAGCCCTTTATTTGACTCATATAGTCATGATATTCTCATTCCTTTACTTCTTATGTTTGGTGTCCTTCTTTGGAAATTTTAAAATTTGTAGTCATATATTTCTGATTAACCTGAGATTGAACTCACAAATTTCATAGAACTAAAGAATCTTCACCAGTAACTTTTAGTCACAAGACCATTTTGGATGCTCAGTTATTGAAGCTTTAAATCTACAATATGCCTGCCAAGATGCCCACTGGATGGCACAGTTTTAGGACTATAAAAATGGGACAATAAAACTTGTTTCCTCTTGCTCTGGAAGTAATAGTGATAATATGGCACTTCCTCTCTGGTAAAACTTCTTAGTTGCCAGGCAAACTACATTTCAAAGAAATTATGTGGACATCACACCCAGGAACATTTTCTAACAGCAAAGTCTGTAATGTTTTTATTCTTTTTTTAACTGTGTACACACACATATATTTTCTCTCTCCTTATATTGTTACTGTTTATATTTTCTCTCTCCTTATATTGTTACTGTTTATATCTTCTCTCTCCTTATATTGTTACTGTTTATAGACATAAAATTACTCCATGTGGTGTAATTCTGTTACTGCAACAATATGAATACTATCTGGTTCCCATACAGCATAACTAATACTATTACTGCAGTACTATTAATACATACTATGTTATCATACAGCCATACTAACACTATTACTAATATTGCAACAATATTAATACTATCTGGTTCCCATACAACAATAGTAATACTATTAATACAAAAATTCTAATATTATTACTGCAACAATATTAATACTATCTAGTTCCCATATAGCAACATTAATACTAATTCTGCAATAATATCATCTTGTACCCATAAGGCAATACTAATAGAATTAATAATACTTCAACAATACTAATACTATCTGGTTCCCATACAGCATAACTAATACTATCACTTGAACAGTATTAATATATCTAGTTCCCATAAAGCCATACTAAAACTATTACTAATGCTGCAACAATACTGTTTCCATACAGCAATACTAATACTATTATTAATACTGCAACAATATTAAGTGTTTTGAAGATGGCAATGCTAATACAAATACTGTTTTGCAGACAGAAATACTAATACTATTATTAATACTGCAACAATACTAATACTCTTTCCTATATACCAATACTATTATTATTACTATGACAATACTAATATTGTTTCCTATACAGCAATACTAATACTGTTATTACTGTAACAATGCTAATACTGTTTTGCAGATGGCAATACTAATACTATTACTGCAACAATATTAATACTGGTTTGCAGACAGCAATATTAATACTGCAAGAATACTGATACTGTTTCCTATACAGCAATACTAATACTATTATTATTAACAGCAACAATACTGTTTCCCATACAGGAATAGTATTGCTATTACTGCAACAATACAATTTGTTTCCCATACAGTGCTGAGTTTTATACTAGATCTATTGACTGAAGGATTTGTGTATAGTATATTTACTGCTTCTTTTAATCATCTTATTTTCCAGATTGTTCTACAGAAGTTGCTGACTGTATATACATATTTTCAGAAGGTTACTAAATGTGATAGATATCAAAGAAAGACAGAAAGTACAGTAGCCATAATGTTGTAATAAAAACAGCAAAAATGCAGAAACTGGTTTTGCTGAATGAATGACTAAAGAATATTGCCTTTCATAATGTTCTTGAAAATTAAAATGAATGCTGATTTCTTGATCAAGTTTCTAGGAACTTTGAAGATGCTTTAAACTGTAAACAATATGGAATTTGTTTCTTTTGGAAAGTATATGGATATTTATAATAACTCATATAACAGGGAATACATGGTTGATGTTACAAAGTAATGAATTCATCTTTCGTCACCCAGCTAATGGGTACATAGCATAGTAGATTAGGATAGATTAGGCTCCCTAGCCTTGAGTGGTAACTAGTCTAAGAAAAGAAAAAATTCTGAATTCCAGAGCTTGAAGAAAGCTTCCTGAAACCACTACACTATCTTTCTCAAGAAGTCTATTAAATAAAAGTAATCTTCTGTTCTTTCTCTGTTCTATCAATTTGAGGTATTTACATCCGCTGCTGATAAAGCTGAATGTTTTGGTTGTAGATTCTCTTTAAACTTTACTCTTGACTCATCTGGAGAATCCTTGCCTGACTTTCCACTTAAAATGGAGTTTCTACTGAGTGATATACAAACAACTCCTTCCGTAGTTCTAATCTGGATCCTCACAATGCATGTAGACCTAATGATATCCCTGTAATAGTCCTGAAGAAAATATGCTCCTGAACTGGCTCCTGTTCTCTGTAAACTGTATAATAACTGCCTTACTGTCTCTTGCATTCCTGCTTGTTGGAAATCCTCATCTGTTGTTCTAGTCTGGCCCTTCTAATTATTGACTGATTAGTATTCTACCAATACTAGAGGCCCTAATCAACACTGAATTGGTTAAGCATCTTACATCACAGGGCTTTTTTCAGACTTTTGCTTTGGTAGGTCAACTGCTGATGTACTAATGATTATTGCAGAAAGAGTCTATCATTCTTATCTAAAGCTTGATAGATTCTTGATATATTTATATATTCTTAATAAAATCCAAAATAGAATCTTCAATATTATTGGTCCTGACCTGGCATCTCGGTTTCAGTCACTTTCCCTCTGTCATAATGTAGCTTCCCTCTGCCTTTTCTATAAATACTTACATGGTAATTGTTCTGATGAACTTTCATCTATGGTACTTAGACTTTTGGCATTTAAGCACAGTACTAGACTGACAACAAGATCTCATCATTTTACAATTGAAATTGCTAAATGTAACTGTAAGTTCTATGCTAACAGCTTTACTCTCACACTTCTTGCTTGTGGATCTCTGTTCCAGCTTCTTGCTTTCCAGTCAACTTTGATCTTCAAAAATTTAAATACAATGCCAATCATTATCATCTTTCTTCTTAATCATTGTTCCTTTATTGTTCTCTCTCCTTAATCACATCTTTTTTTTTCTCATATTCTCTAGCACACAAAGGGGCAGGTGCTGGATTTTCAAAGAAATGCCACAGCACCTGGCCTTTGGATATTGGTGAGATTTGTATGGATAAAATTAAGTTTCCGTGTATGTGCATTGCAAAGGATCTCTCATGGACTAGTAATACCATTGCAATAGTCAAGAAGGTTGACTATTTACTGAAAATTTTCATAAAAAATCATTTATAAAATGGGGCTGCTGATGACCTTTTACCATTGCTCTACTGAGTGTGTGCTCGCATACCGCATCAAGTTGGTATCTATGCTGATGACCCAACCATTTACTCCTGTCTTGATAGGAAGTCTGATCAGATAGATATGGCCAAATTGGCAGCTGATCTAAAGAATTATCTACAGTCAGTTGTTAATTGGAACAAAGTATGGCTTCTTAATTTTAACACCACCAAAATAAAACTGCTCTCTTTTAATCACCTAAGAGACCCCTTTCTGCCTCCCATTAGCATGTCTAACCTCCACAAGAGTGGCTCATTATAACTTCCTGAGCTAACTTTCTTGACTGACAGGAAATAGAAAGACTATATTGAATCAATTGCTAGGTTTGCTGCTAAGAAAGTTGGTTCACTGTGTTGTACTAGACAATTTTTCTCTCCTGAATCTATCTTACATAGTTATAAATCTGCCATTCGTCCATGCCTTGAATAGTGCTGCTGCATATGGTCTGGTGCTTTTGTATTTTTTTTAATCAGAATCATCCCAAGCAATGCAGTAAAGCCACTAAGACACAAGGGTTACAGGATGTGTAAGAATTAAGAACAGAAACATTAATGATAAGCAGAAAGAGAAGAGAGTAATCAGGTGGATAGTAGATAGTGATTCACATTGCATTTAAATTTTTGCAGATTAAAGTTGGCTGGAAAGCATGGAGCCAGAAGTGTGTTCCACATGCAGGAAGTGTGAGAAAAGAAAGTGTTAGCAAAGAAATTATGGCTACATCTAGCTAGCTCAACTGTAAATTGATGAGATCTCAATGCCAGTCTAGTATTGCACTTAAATTCATAAAGTCTAGGTATCATAGTGAAGAGCTCAGCCAAACAATTACCATGAAAGTATTTATAAAAAAGACATATAGAGGTAACCTTGCAGTAATGGGAAAGTAACTAGAGTTGAGCCACCAGATCAGGACCAATAATATTGCTGATTCTTCTTTGGACCTTATCAAGGAACTCAAGGTAAAAAGAGCAGGAGATGGAAAGAAGTTTAGTTTTGAAGGCGTTAAAATTAACAAGCCATCTTTTGCCCCAGTTAACTACGGACTTGAAGCTGTTTTATACATTGGCTGTCATTTTGACCTTGTCAGACTGATAAGCCTTACTATTGAGGTAGGAGTAAATTGTTTCCTTGTCAGCATAGATACAAAGTTGAGAGTTGATGCCAGCAGGAAGGTCATTAATGAAAATTAAAACTAGAGTAAGACAAAGGATGTAGCTCTGGGGGCCATCTGCGTTAGTACGAAAGGATCTAGACAAGTGGCCATTTAGGATAACTAATCTTATAGTTATCCATTCAGGATAACTATGTTATATAGATTTAGAAATTCTTGATAAAATCCAAAGACAAATCAGCAATATTATTGGTCCTGACCAGGCATTTCGGCTTCAGCCACTTTCCTACTATCATAAATTTGCTTCCCTGTGACTTTTCTATAAATAATTTCATGATAATTGTTTGGATGACAGCTTTGTTATGGCACCTAGAGTTTATGAATTTAAGCACAATACTAGATTAGCAATAAGGTCTCATTAATTTATAGTTGAAATGGCTAGATGTAACCATAAGTTCTATGCTAACTGCATTTTTTCTTGTATTTTTACTTTTAGAACTCTCTTCTGGATCCTTGCTTTCTAGTCAAGTTTGATTTTCAAAAATTTAAATGCAATGTCACTTGTTATCTACTGTCTTCCTGATTACTCTTCTATTGTTCCCGCACCTCAATAATGTTTGTTTTTTTAATTCTTTCACACCCAGTAACCCCTTGTGTCTTAGTGGTTTTACTATCTTGTATGGGGTGAATTTGATTCAAAAAGGAAATGGTAACACCAAGCCATTTTGCATTTTCTATCTGAATATTTACCAAGCCTAATTATGAAATAAATAGAAAAAAGAAAAGCTTATGTAACTGGGCAGGAGAAAATCTGAACACTTTCCTCAGTTTCAGGTTGATTGGTTTGCTATCAACAGCCTTGTCTTTGTGGTTTTCTTTTTAATATTATGTCCATTAAGGACACAATCATAATTCTTTAGAGATACCTTGTCTTTATTATCTGTAAATTGCTATGAATTCTTACAAAAGATAGTGGAGTGTTTTCCTGTTACTTTACTGATGGTTTGGAATTTACAGTAATTAGATTTTTTTAATGCCTTGTCCCTTCAAGATAAACAATCATGACTCGCTACAGATTATGTTTCTTTATGATCTGTAAGTTGCCATGAATTCTTAGGAAAGATAATGAAGTGGTTTTCTGTTGCATTCTCCACAGATTGAATTTCAGAGTGTTCTTTCTCTTATACTGATTGCTACCAAAAGCTACAGAGCCAATTCTACCCTGCTATTTAAACAGTATGTCAGAATTTGAACTAAGTTCACCAATTCAGCCTTTCTATGTTGATATCTGCTCCACTATCAACAAAGCCAAATAAAAATATTATTTATTTATATACATTACACCTTTTCTTCTTTTTTTAAAAAGTGAAAGATTTAAGCCACCATGACCTAATCAGAATTCAATGACAAATTAGATGGCTGTTTAAAATTTAAAAGAGAATGAAATACAGAGCTTGGTTTGTTTATTAATGTAGTTCAAGGTACTCCCTGTTAAAAGAGCTCATGTTATTAGCAAAAGACATTCATTTGACAATTACTGCCTTCAAAACAGATTCAGGGTTAAAAATCCATTACTTTAAAAAGTCACAATCTGTCCATCTCAAACCAATAAATAAAAACTCTATTTTCCTTGTTGTTTTTATTACTACATTGCATTTTTCATATTCTTCATTGTCTAAAATTCTGAAATCAATCATTGTCATTATTCCACAAGTTATTCCAACTAATATCCTCATCATTGTTTTATTAGTACACTTTCGTCAATGAATTCTACACTAAAGTAATATTGATAAATACAATAATAGCAGTAATACAAATACTTGTTTGAATATTTAGGCAATATTTCTTTCTGATAAGAGTATTTTTTGACATGTTTCTTTATATTTTGCCACAGAGCAATAATATCTAGCCATTGATGCCATCAGATATAACATTAAAATCCACACTTGAAGAAACATCTAGCAAAATTATTTAAAAGAAATATATTGAACTTACCAAAAATTTAATTCTGTGTTTGTTGTAACTAGGTGGCATAAGGAGTGTTTATTTGTAACTGACATCATTTAATAAGATTGCTTTTGATTGGATTGCTGGATATCAGCATGAATAAAAAATTTCAATTTTGGCAATTTTTTGTTTATTAATTCTAACACACTATGAATGGAAGAAATTCAGCAATATTTTCAGCATATTGTTTTATATTGAAAAATGTAGAAATGGGATTTAAATATGATAAAATATTTGTGCTGGTCAAGGAGAAGGTACTACAAATAATCAAATGTGTCAGAAGTGGTTTGTGAAGTTTTACAATGCTCCACTTTCAGGTTGATTAATTGAGGTTGATAGTGATCCAATTAAAACATTACTTGAGAATAATCACAATATTATGCAATATTGGAGATAGACAACATCCTCTAAATATTCAAATGAATATTTAAAATTAATTTGTACCAGTTTGGTTATTTTTGTTTTTTTTTATGATCACCCTACCTGCTAATCATATATGGCAATTAAGAATGAATTTGGAGTACACTAACATGACTTGATTTTGCATGGGAGTAGCAGCATACACAGTGGATTAAAAGGAAGATCTTGTTCTCCTCCATGACAATGCAAGGCTGGATACAGCAAGAATAACACAGGAAAAAATTTTGAAACTTGGTTAGTCTGTTCTACCTTACCTTATCTTGTTCCAACCAATTATTATTTTTTTTGATGGTTGCAAAATGCTTTGACAGAGAAAATTTTCTCTAATGAAAACCAGATTCAAGATTTTGTTGAAAGCATTTTCACATGAAGACATTCATCATTACAATTCATTCCCAACCATAGAAATATCCTATGACTTAATTTAATTGTTGCGTGTCCATTATATACATTGCATTGTGGGATAAACACACTAATACTTATTGGATTAAATCCCTTTCAATCTTTGATACATTTTTTTTCATATAAGAATTTTTTTATCATTGATTCCAATATGGTATTAAACCACTCTTCCTTGTGAAACAAACTCCCAAGAAGATGCTTCCAAGTCACTACAATTTTAATCTGTTCAAGTTTAGTTAACCGTTATCTTCCCCACATACCCCCCATAAACTCTGCCTTTTACTCTGTAACCCTCTAGCTCAAGTGGTACAGGGTGAACATCACAGTAAAAAAATAAATAAAAAATAGCAACTAGGCAGTAACAACCATAAAAATTCTTCGATCCATTATCAACCATGGCTAAAGATATTATTATTTTTTTTTTTTTGCACAACTTCCCAACAGAATTTTAAGAAAATACCCCTTCAGCCAAAATATAAAAATGAGAGAAGTTTAAAAAAAAAAAACATTGGATATGAAAGTTTTACTTTCTAAGCAAAATTATTCTATTTTTATTATCTTTAATATGAAAAATGCTAGAAGAGACATGACCAACAGAATCTTAATTGGAAATAGTAAAACTAAAATGGTAAAAACATTTGAGATGCTTTTTTCAATGGATAGCAAATAGTGTGCAGTGATTTTCTTCAATATACAGACATAAAGAAATAACAAAAGAATGCCTTTTCCTGTAATCATGCTGAAAACAAAAAGAAAGGAGGCCAGAACTGTTACGTTACATGACAAGAAGCAATAAATTCAATTCAGGAAAACACTCACTTGATATCGTTTCATATCCATTACTCTTTCCAGAGCAACGGAATAATCCGTCCAGTAAAGCATCCAGTCTTCGTTATCACCAACTTCACGGAACCCAAACTTTCTGGTCATACGCTTGACTGGGATACAGGAAATGATGGACAATAAATGACTGACATATGTTAGGATGTAGATTTATTAATGTAGGCAATTTACTTAGAAGTATATATATATATATATATATATATATATATATATATATATATATATATATATATATAATGTTTCCTTGAATATGACATATAGGAATATGTTATATTTTATTCAGTTTTTCTAGTATCCTTACAATTTTTCTTTTCTGCAGGCTAAGTGCATAGACAAACTGTTCATATTTGCTTTACACACTTAGCCCTCAAAAAAACATTGTAAGAATACTAGAAAAACTAAATAAAAAATAACATATTCATTATCCATCATATCCAACAAAAACATGCATAAAAGAAGGATTACTGCCTAAATATACAAAAGAATAAATAATATAAAAGGACAATAAACAAGTGATGCATTTCTATGTGCAGTTGTTTAACATAATTTACTTATATAATTATGTAATATACATACATAAATAATATAGAGTGTATTTTTGGAAAAACTGTCTGGACTGAAATTCAGTTCAAAAAATCATAACCTCCATTGACCTTTTTGAGTTTTAAATTCCTTGGCTAGTTGAGAAATAATTGAAAGTTGAGGATTAGTGCCATTTTATCTCATGTTACAAGACAAAGACTGGGTTTTCTAAATGAACTTCAGTGGTGAAAATCAGTTGTGTATTAGTTAATGATGCTTCTGAAATGTGTCTTAGATAATCTGACAAAAATATCAGCTTGGTATGTCTTTATCAAACATAAGTGTAGGAAAGGAGTTTTTGTTTTGAACATTCTCTCAGTCAAAAGGGTTTCACAATTAAAAAAATATAAAAAAACATTCTGGAAAAATCAAAATATTCTATTCTAGTCTATTCTGCATTACTTCTCCAAGAGACTCTTTGTAGGGGTTTAAACAGTTCTTTGGCTAACCAAGAAAGAATTCTGATGTTTGATCAGATTTTGGGATATAGATTGAGCTGATAACATTTCAGCACCAACTCATATCCTGATAGAAATGTTGTCTTCCAGTAGAACAGGGCTTTTAACATTCTGCTTGATTCACCAAGACCTAGCTGTCAAAAAAAGCTTTGAAATCATAGCATTTTCCAGCAAATCAATGGATAAATATCTAGTTGAGAAGATTTGAAAGTTTTTTATGATCAAAACTAAAAGGTATGAAGTTTATGAAATGCCATCCAAAAACAGTGAGATTCTCTAGCTGTTGATTTTCACAGAGGCTGATTCAATGATTACCAATAAACAAGGAAACAGTGTTAAAGGATGATCACATTTGATATTAATCTACTGTGACTTATGTTTATCTTCTGGGCTTATTTTTACATTATATCAGATTTTATGACTAATATTAACCAACCAATGCTGATAAAATGTTCAAGATATATTTATATGATAAATATAACATGAATTTCAGTTTATAATATCAGGTTTTATTTCAGATAGTTACAAAATATTATCTTGTGTTCTGAGTTTATTTTTATGCAATTCAAGGGTTGTTCACCATATTGTAATATTATAATTAATTCTATTTGTTCTTGAATACATTAGTTAATTAGCATTAATGTTACACCCTGCAATATCTCATAAATAATCGACTATTCCATCGTGATTGTAAGAAAAGATGGAAAAGTCATATCAGAAATGTTGTTTAGCTCCAGTGAGAAAAATAAAGAAGTGGAAGGTAGAAGAGGCAATAATGCTCTCATGCATTTAACGTCTACTTCAGTGAAATGGTAAACCTTGTCAATTTTATTTGTACGCTCTTACTTCTGTAAATAATGACCTGCTTTCTTACTTATGGTTGTTATTGCAATATTTTATTGAAGTTGTTAAGCTCAAATATTTTATGATCCAATAAGCAAATTTTATAGTCATATGGAACATGCAAGAGTCTAATTCAATCCTTAAATTAAGAATTATGATTCTTCAGAAAATTAAAATAAAAAAGTCACAAAATTTTCATGGGTACTGTTTGTATTATGCAACAGTACAGTTACAGATATTTATTTCAGATAAATAAAGATTGTCATGGGTCATAAGAAAGACATAAGCTTACAAAGGAAAAAGATATTGTAAAGTGTTTGGGTGATGGGAACACAAGAGTGGAAATTGTAAAAAAAATTTAACATAGATCACAAAACAGTTAAAAAATAAATTGAAAATATTAGCAAGAAAAAATATGTTTTATGAATGTCATAAGAGATTTGAGAAAAATTTGAAAGGATATCAAGCAAGAAAAGTAAATTGACCAGCCAGAACACATTTAAAGAATCTGGCATTTTAAATGTAAACAGAGAAGAAAAGATGCAGAATATTAAGAACATTATCTAATGATATTAAAGCAATCAAACAATAGAATTACATGAAAACTGATTTCTCAAAACGAAGTTTTAATGATGAATGTAGAGCTATATTGGATGAACCTGATGAGTTGGTTAGAGGTTGGGTTATTCATAGAAATACTCATGCAATAAGACTTAGAAGACAAAAGTGAGGAGGTGGAATAATGCTTTGGGCTAATATTTACATCATATGTCACAAATCTTGTAACCCATTAGGGTTGTAGGGTTACCATATGTACTGTAGCAATAGCAGAAATTGTGTGTCTAGAGTAAAATAGCTTAATAGGTTGTATCCCTCTGGTTCTGAATTCAGTGTTTTCCTTCCTTCTACATTTGTTGCCACCTCAAGGCAAGAGAACCCAATCAGCCCTGCTATTTAACCCATAGCTAAAGCGAGAAGAGATAGAGTCATACCTTTCCTGAGGTCACTTATACAAAAGTAAACATAATGAATTCAACTGGAATTTGAACTAAGCTTGTTAAAATCTTTTCCCAAGTCAATGATCATTACACTATTTGAAATAGATGTGCCATTTTTATTTATAAAACAGTGTGTATTATGTCTACTGGCCTTTTGTTTTGGCCCACCATTTTTTTTGTAGACACAAAAATTAAACAGTACCAAAAAAACAAACACAACAAAATGTTGTTAACCAGCTACTTTTCCTCACTTTAAAGAGTTCAGTTGAAAACTAAAATATGTTTCTGCAGAATGACTAATATTAAGTGAGGAAGAAAAAGAATATTATGCAAAAATCAGCACTACAAGTTTCAAGCTGATTACATTAAGATAGAGAAAAACCACTCCTTCTACTTACAGAAGGAAGGTTGCTTAGATTTAATATATAGGGCCTTGAGTAAATTCAAATGGTAATCTACCCTAAGTACTTGAGATAATATATTTGAATCTAAGTAACCTTTCCTCTGTAAGCAGAAGGAATGGTTGCTGTGTCTTCTTAATATAATCTGTTTGTGACTCACATTTCTGATTCTCTGCTAATATTTATTCTTTTCTCCTAATTTTAGTCAGTGTTCACTTTTTGTCCTTGATTGCGTTCTGAAAAATGAAGAATAACCAATAACCTAAACATTTGTTCTGTTTTACTGTTTCCTTTCTTTCTATTGCCCCTTTCTTTTTTCTTTCTTCCTTTTCTTTTCTCTTTCTTTCCTTCTTTCTTTCTTTCTTGTTTCTTTTTTCTTTCTTTCTTTTTTCCTTCCTTCCTTTTCTGTTATACTTTTTCAATTTACCATTTTAAAATAAATAATTTTTTTTACAATAATGTACCCACATAAATTATTTCTGTTTTTCTTCATTCTCTTTACCAACCAACCAATACAACTTGTTAGTTTAACTTGCTTTTAACATGTTCTTGCATTTCATTATGACTACTTTATTTTTACCTTTGATCTAGCAAGGTTAAAGGTCAAAAGTTCATTTTAAACCACAGAAACTACAGTAATAAAATTTAAGATGTTTTGAGGTCTTCTGTGGGTATTTAAGGTCAAGGACAAATTTCTGTCCACAGTTTTGTTTTCTGCATAGTGACACTTCAAAAAATGGGTGGTCATGGCTCCTGCAGCTTTCTCTCTCTTGCAGCAGCTCAAAGCAATATTTGATTCTTTACAATCCCTCTTTGTTCTCACTTTGCCAACTATTCACAGAAAATTATTAGGTTGCTTATATGCTATTTCCCTCTGATCTTCTTGTCTTTCTAAAAATATCCTCTGTGTGTTAAATTTTCAACATCTCCTTTACTTATTACATTTCAAAAATGTCCAGACTGTAGTATTCTCTGCATCAGTTTGTACGACCACATCTTCACTTCTTATCTCTTTTTCATACTAACACTTTTAACCATTAAGTCCAGTGGTTCTGCTACACATTTGAACATTGCAATTGCTTAGAACCCAAGTATGAAGGTACTAATACCAGTTTGTTTGAAAAGAGTATAGCTGACAAAACTGATCAGCAATTCAATTTTATTTTTGTACAAGATTCCCTTGTGACAAGATGACTACTTTTATTTTAGATACAGTTGTTTTTCTTGTTGGAAGGCATAAGGCAAGAAATATTAAAGTATTAACATAGTATCTGTCAAAAATGACAGGATTATATATATATATATATATATATATATATATATATATATATATATATAGTTAATTCATCCGTTGCCTATTGTGTGATTGTCCCCCTCCCCCTTTATCTGTCAGATACTTCTCTTAATGCTAGCTATGTTGTATAAAACAGTATAAAGGGAAAATCTCAAACATTCTACCTCTTTATTTTTTTTTCTCTCTTCAACAAAAGACTGCCACAGTAACAAGATGTGTCTTGTTTCCACTCAAAGAAGCTTCTTAGCCCACAGCTGAACCGTAAGATTTTTCTTTGCTTTCTCAGCTATGTTGTTCTTTATATAAATATATAAAGACCCATGTATCTGTTGAATACACTTACTTTGAAAATGTTAAGATATTCAACCACATGCCATTACAATTGGTAACCCCTTTATGTTATACTGTTCTCTTTGTTTTATAAAATTTGAATTATCTAAAATTCAAGAATTTAAATTTGCAAAATTATTTTGTTAAGCAATGTTGTATACAAAAATTTAATCATAAAATAAAATTATTTTTAAAAAATCTGCTGTTCGTTCTATTTTTAAGATTAAATTGAGAGGAAAAAAAATCCACAACTTCCTGAAATACTGAAAATATTTCAGTGAAGAATGTATTTCTAATCTCACAATAAATTTCTCTTTCAGTCGCTTTATACCAAAAAAGAAAGGTGCAGATTGAGAAGAATCTAAAAGTCCTGTTTAATTTGTTTTCTAAATCCACAAATTGCAACACTTTTTAAAATTATCTTTTAAAATTAATTTGATTGAAATAAGACATTTAAAAAAAACTAATGAGACTCTGAAAATTTCCATTTTTTCTTTGAAATCTTGAAAATGTCCTGTTTTTTATATTATTTACTTTAATGCACTTTCATATAAGAAAAGGATTTATTTTAAAAATACATTAAAGTAACTCAATCAAATAATTATAAATATTTAGTGTGACTATTTAGGCTGAATTAACAAACAAATAAATTAACAAATTCAATGATACTGGTCTCATATATATATATATATATATATATATATATATATATATATATATATATATATAAACATAAATATAAAAGTGTTGACTTCAATGTTCACTTTTATATTTATGCTTATATGCTCTATCTCTGATATTGAGCACTTTATCCCATAAATATAGAACACCTTAAAACTATATTTCTTCACACACACACACATATATATATATATATATATATATATAGGGTTAGTGCAAAAATAATGTCATTTTTTGACGTTAAGTTGAACGTCAAAAACGACATTATTTTTTGCACCAACTAATAGCATTCCAAGCCTGAGATGAATCCAAAGCTTAGTGAGTGCGGTGCTCAGCTCAAGGTCAACAGAACTTTGGGAATTGAGACATACTATTTTGTTTTTCTTTGTTATTTACCATGGAATAGTGTCATAAGTCAGGAGACCAACATATGAAAAGGGTGGGAGGCCTTCAAAGGAAAAAGAAAAAAGAGAGAGCCAAAGAACTCTCAAAAGGTTTACATTAGGAATAACGAATATTGTTAAAACTGAAAATGCGCAGTCAAATAAACATGTAGAGGCTGAAGAAACCTCATGTGCAGAAATTGGTTTATTTAATAATGACAGTAATGTATATTAAATAGGGATAAAACCAAAAAACAACCACAGCCATTAAACTTTGACACCAGAACTCTATGAAATGGAAGTTCTAAAATGAATGAAATTGAGGAGGCAGTAAGATCAGATCTGGAGAAAGACTCTTCCCAATTTTTTCATGATGTCACAGAATAGTCATTTTGTTTCATTTGTTTAGAAAATAGACTGGACAGTAAGGTGCAAATGTCAGTAGTCATTGTTTCATTTCTTGTCAATTAGTAAACTATCATTAACATTTCGTTCCACCCTGGCCATGATTTCAAGATATTCTACTGACAATAATTTGAAGAGATTACAGAAAATTATCACTCATGAAACCAGTGTAAGTTACATTTTTTTTTTTAGATGGAATGGCTAAGCATGGAAAAGAACATAAAATCACAATTATTGGTCATTCAGATGCTTTTTCAGATCCAAAAAGTACAACAGTAGTAGAGAAAAAAATTCTTCTCATAATTTCTGATGTGACATTGTTCCTAGGTATTCAGAAAGACAAGTCATTTCATCAGGAATCACAATAATGGTAATTAAAGTACTTGTTGAGTTAAGTAGCCATTATAATCCAAAATTCAATAAATAATTGCAAAGTGAAAGATTCACAAACAACCAAGACAAGGCTAAAAGAATACTGTTTCGCCAGAAAGCCAGGATGAGTTTATTAAATACTGTTCCTTAACAGTAAGCAAAACAATCATAAAGGTGTGAGGAACTACAAGATACTTTTCAATCATGGTTGACGTAAAAAACTCAGAACATACAGTGCAAGTGTGTTCATGCTTTATGGCCAATGAAAAAATGTTATTAAATAAAAGAAAGATTTCTTCAGTTTTAGACTATAATAATAATAAAAAAATAGTAGAATCAACTGCTGTGTTGATCTGTGAAATCCTAAAGCTGTCATAGGCTGTATATAGTCTGTTTGGAATTCTGAATAGCATGCCTAATTTAATGAGGGAAATAACTCACAATAAATTTTTGTTTATTTTATTTCCTTTTCACTTGTTCACTCACACTCTCTCATACATGACAACATAAACAGCAATGATGTTTCTTGAATTTTGTTTCAGTGAATTTCAAACCATTGGAGATTTTTCACTAAGGAAGATCGTAAGTGTAACCATTTTACGCTTTAGAAAAAAGAAACATTCATAATATTTTTTTTTATCTGGAGAAAGATTATATTTCTCATTCCTTTTTTGCATTTAGATACTCAAATGGATAAATTGAAAACAAATCAAATGCAACATGTGTCAATAACATTTTCATCAATAACTTCAAACAAAAAAATATCAACTTCCCCCATTTCTAAAGCAGATGCTTATGTGTATGATCTTCTATAGTTAAAATGGCTAGGTTATTTTCAGTGAAATATTACCTTAAATTTTTTAGTAGTGCAGCCTGCCTTATAAAGAGACATAGTGGCCCACTGCTCGAAAAAGGTTGTCCATGAAATATCAAATGCAGGCTACTATGGATGAGGATATAACAATGGCAACATTAATAGATCCTATAATGACACTGAAGAATAATCCCCAAGCCACATACATTTGGTGAGCTTTCTACAGTCTAAATTTGTATGGTCCTTATGCTAATCAAAAGTGTTCAAATATAATTACATTTTTTTGAATTGTTCAAAAACTATTCAACCATTATCAAACTAAAAATGGAGTATTGCTGGAGTTGCCCAGTCCACATTTTCAAGCCTTGACAGAGTTCAAACGTGTTAGTACAACCTTGTGAGACTGAAATGTTTCCAGCTTACAACCACTTTCCTCACAGACAAAAAAGCCTCTTATTACTCTACCACTATTGCATTGCAGATATTCAGACAAGCTTCATTCTTTAGTTCCATTAGTTCAGATCTGCATCTATACCCCAATAATAATTTTACTGGTTCAAAGTCACTAGTATTTAATCAAGTGTTAAGGCATTGCACATGTGTTTAATAGCTTGAAATAAGTACCAATAGGACAACAGTAATTCTAAATACAAAGGGAATCAGTCAAAATAAGTCCTATACACAAACTCAATCACTGTTCTGAACCACAACCTTCATTTCATCACAAGGTCTTTAGAGTTAAGACCTGCCATGCCATACGATATACACAGGGGTGAACCATCTGTCTTCGCTTTGTATTCCATTGGTAACAAGGAAATTCCATTAAAAGAGCTTTTTTTTCCAAGAGCTACTGCATTGTGGAAAAAGACTCCTGAGAGGATGCTTCCCTAATCACTACAATCTTAACATCATTACGTTTAGGATCACCTGTTATCTATCCTACATATCCTCATAATATGCACCTCTTACTCCCTCAGTGAATGCACTTAAAACAACCTCATTTAGTAAACCTCAAATTTGAGTGGCTCTTGGGCTTTGTATTGGGTGAACAATATTATAAAAAGAATTTTCACAAAGGTAAGACACTTTTAAAGGAGAATATCAGTTGCTCACTGCAGTGTGTGTTTAGAGACACAGTCTGTAAAAGTTGATTGTTTTTTACTTTTCCAGCTGTCTTAATTACAATAAAAAACAGCAATTGAGAGGGTAAAGACCTTTTAAAATGGACTGCACAAGCTCAGTTTTTTCATACAAGTCCTACTATTTAATCCATATCTGGGGGAAAGAGGTACATTCATACCTTTCCCAAGAGTATTTGCATATATAAGTGAATATAATAAACCCAACCGGAATTGGAACTCGGCTCTTTGATTTCTCATTATCCATTACACTACCCATACATCCAAACTTACAGCACCTGAAATTCTCAATACGTGACCCATCTAGGTACTGATCAGGCTCTATGTTCTTTAACTTCAGTGATTGGATAAGAACTGGTATTTCAACATGGTATGGCTGCAATCTGAAAAAACTGAGAATAGATAAGAAAAATGAGATGGCGATTTAGATTTGAACAGTTTATGACAGAGTTTTTATACTAAAGTTCATCCTATACAAGGCCCGAGAGCCACTCCGGGTATAGGGTTACTCTTATAATGGTTATGATGAATGAGGTGTGATATGAATGAAAGAGGAGGACATGATGATTATGAGGATAACGAGGATAGATAATGATTGATCCTTGACTTGAAGAGGTTAAGATTGTAGTGTTCAGGTTTGGATTTGATTTCATTTTTATAGCTTATCAAACCTTTGTGGGTTATTTAAAACTGAACTATGTCTTGGATTGTAGGAATCATATATTTTGTGAGTAAATATTGCATTAACAATTTTTTAGTATAACAAGGTTTTTTTCCAGATACAAGTCCTATTATTTAATCTATAGCTGGGAGGAGGGGATGGAGTCATACCTTTTCCAAGTGTATTTGTGCATAAACAAATGTAATGAAACCAACTGGAATTTCAACACAGTACTTTGATTCCTCTTTCTGAGCTGCTACCTAGCGTTTAGGAAAGCATCAATGTTTGAGTTTATTCCACAAGGTAGTAATTCTTTGGAAGAAGCTGAGTGGAACTTTCTCCTTAGATTCTGAATAGAGAGGAAATGAGGGTGATTTGTCTCAATGGAAGTAGCATGGCATGTCCTAGCTTTAAAGGTCTGAAGTGGCGGAGGTGATGAATGGAGTGCTCATCTGAACATCTGTCAGGGAAATAGCAATAGGCCTGTGCTGCGTCTTTGAGAAAGAGGAGCAGCATTGAGATAGATCTTCCATGAGAAAACCAGGAAACCAATTTTGAACCCAATCAAGGCTTGAAGATGTGGATTGAATAGACCCAATTCAGATATGGCTGCAATACTCCACTTTTGGTTTAATCTGACTCTTGTAAAAATAAAGCATGACAGAATAAGCTGATCATTCTTTTTTCAGCCTCTTTAGCATTGGATCCGATAGATATGAACAGACTGAGACAGACAAATATAAACAGACTGAGACAGACAAATATGAACAGACTGAGATAGATAGGTTGATATGCACAGACTGAAATAGAACAGAATAAGCTAGCCATGTAAGTAGAAAGGAACAGAATGAAATAGCGGGATATTAATAGAGTGAGAGGGAAATAATTTAAAAGTCTTCTCACCAACATCATACTTGCAGTTGACAAGGCAGACACACATCCATCTGTAAACCAAAAAAAGAAGACAATATTAAAAACAACTTGAAATTTATCTTTTTTTTTATTCAGACAAGTACTCTATATTACTCAACTTCTTTTTACCTGCGCAATAAGAATAACACAATGTATAGCTCACGGAGATGAGTGAAAAATTCCCATCTTTAAGCTAAAAAACAAAAGGCCAAACTGACATAAAGAAAACCAAATATATATATATATATATATATATATATATATATATATCAATTTCCAATTTGTAATTGGTAGGGATAATTCCAAGGAGGACATTAATCCAATGAAAAGGCAATGGAAGTTACAGACCAATTTATAATAATAAATCAAGAAAAACTATACACTTGATGTACACTTGAAATGTTTATTTTTTTTATATGGGTACTAACATATCTGTGTACGTGTATTCACATTTTTACATGGTTATTTATGTGATTGTCTTGCCTACATCATTTATAATTTTAAATTATTAATTAATTTATATTCTTATATTTTACTATTATTAATAGTATCATCTTTATTATTTTTATCATTATCTATTTTTTATATTCTAAATTTGTTCTTTATAATTACCTCTGGATCCCTCTGTCTAGATGGATTTTATTCAATAAAATCACCTACAACCTCCAGACAACTTTGGAATTTTCTGCAACTATTCTGGACAGTCTCCTTGGTTAAGTTGGTAAATGCTGCCATAATCTTTGCCCTCAGTTCATCTTTGGTGTTACAAGGAGTTTTGTTGGTCTCTTGCACCCCACACTGCACCCCACACACAATTATCAAGAGGGTTGCAGTGTGGGGAGTTAGATGGCCAGATGTAAAGGGTAATGTGGTTGCAGAAATTGTTTGACAGCCATGACTGGGCTCTCCCTCTTGTGTGACATTGTGCAGTGTCATGATAGGACATAGGGTCTTCCCTCAGCCACTCTCTTGACCCAGGGCAGCACTACCCCCTCAAGGCACTTGATGTAGGCCTCCATGTGGGAAGATGAATGGAAGTATAACTTCACCATCACTAATGATTACTCCAAACATCTTCATAATCAGCATTAGACTCATCTAACTCTTTCCAAATACTCTGCACTGACACCCAAGTGCTCTAAAATCTTTATTGGAGCTTATGGCACAAATGCCATTTCTTGCAGACTGAATTGCAACATGGTGCACTTTTTCTCACAGACAGTGCCAAACAGACCCTACTATACTGTGCAGTAGACAAAATCAAAAACAAACAATGCAATTAAAAATATTGAAATTAAAAATATAAATTTACCAATTGCACTCAGGAAATGATGGACAATAAATGACTGCCATATGTTGGGACAGATAGATATGAACAAACTTAGATAGATAAAGGTCAAGATTGCATAATATAAAGTATGAATCAGACTGTCACCACTCAATGTTGACATCAGTGTCCACTTTTATGTTTACATATGTGCTATCCCTGATACTGAGCACTTTATCCCATAAATATAGCATACCTTAAAACTATATTTTTATTACTATATATATATATATATATATATATATATAGTAATGTTAAAATTAACCATTTCCCTACAGAAACATTTGGCATTCATTGACTGAGCAGTCAGTAATGCTTTCAGTTGAAGTTTATAAAATCTTTTTCTAAAAACAATTTTTCAGGAAAATAAGTTTTTCAAGTCCAGTAGCTGTTATCACTCTTTCTGGTACTGATGGGGGTTTTTCAACTAACTTTTCATTTAAAGTAGAGTGAAATGTCAACATCTAGATTTTGTCATTATTTTCTCTTCAAGTAACATGTGCTATCCACTTTTGTTGTTGGTAGTCTTCAAGTGATGTGGTTTCTGTTATTTGGTATTGTAATGCCAGTCCACAATGTTTATATATATATATATATATATATATATATATATATATATATGTATGTGTGTGTGTGTGTGTGTATATATATATGTCTGTGTATGTTTGTGTGTGTGTATACATATATATATATATATGTTTGTATATGTATATATATATATATGTCTGTGTATATATATATATATATATATATATATATATATATATATTTATTTACTTTTTTTATTTTGCTGCGTAGGTTGATATATTTATATTTATTTCGATGCGTATATATATGCATATGCATATGGTTGTATGTATGAATATGTGTATATAATACAGAATACGGTTTTCACTTTGCCCTTTCTACAGCTGATGTGCTCACAGCCATAATTGAAATTGTTTACCGAGCACTCCACAATAATGGAGAAGGTTGTGCCATGGCTCTAGATATCTCTAAAGCATTTAATAGGGTCTGGCATGCTGGGATCCTTTGTAAGATCAAGGGATACAGAATTTCAGGTCAATTATTTGACTTAGTACAATCATTCCTGTCAAACCGTGTAATGAAGGTCATCCTTAACAGATTCTCCTCCAGTTCCTTTCCCATGAACACAGGTGTTCCCCAAGGCTCTATCCTAGGCCTTACTCTGATGTCATCCGTTCCCAAGTAGGCATCTATGCTGACGACACTACTATTTACTCCTGCCTCAATAGCAAATCTGGTATTGCTGACAAAACTAACTTGGCCATTAGTCTCAAAAAGGACCTCCAATCGGTTGTAGACTGGGGTAGGAATTGGCTGGTTAACTTTACTGCCTCTAAAACTAAACTGCTCCATATTACTCACCACAGGGAACCATTCCTGCTGCCCATTAGAATGTCTGATGTTCAACTCCACGAGAGCACCTCTTTACGACTGTTTGGTCTCACAATGTCCGCTAATCTGAGAAGGAACAATTACATTGAATCAATAGCTTCATCCACCGCAAGGAAAGTTGGCTTCCTGTGTCACGCCAAAAAGTTTTTCTCGCGTGAGTCTATCCTTCAAATCTACAAATCAACCATTCACCCTTGCATGGAATACTGCTGCCATATATGGTCTGGTGTCTCTGCTGTTTGCCTTAAGGTCCTTGACAAGATCCAGAGATGGATAAGTCTTCAGTCGCTCTCTCATAGATGTGCCATCGCCTCCCTCTGTTTCTTCTACAAATACTTTCATGGTAACTGCTCCAATGAGCTACTATTGCTAGTTCCCAGACTGCATGAATTTAAGTGTGCTACTAGGCTGGTATCATGGTCCCACCCTTTCACTGTCAAAACAGTTAAATGTGTCCGTCTCTTCTACTCCAACAGCTTCATGTCTCGCACCTCCCGTCTGTGGAATTCCCTTCCTATTACTTGTTTCCCTGATAGCTATAATCTCCAACTATTCAAATGTAATGTCAATTGATATCTCCAGATGCCCTGAACTATCCCCTGTCCTTCCCTTCATCCTTTCCTCCATCACACCTCTTTCCTCTCACTCCCACTCTGTAACCCCCTGCACACTAGTGGCATCCCGCCTTGCTTGGGGTGAAATGCTTAAAAAAAAATATAGGTATACATATGTATATGGGTATATGTGTATGTATGTGTATGCATGTGCATAGGTATACTTTTGTAGATTTCTATCTGGAGTGAAGAATGTGTGTACACATATATATGTATGTATTTTTTATTTTCTTTCACATATTGTTATATATTTGTACTTGTGTAAAGTGTACTAATGCGTATATAAGTATATATGAGATATCTATATATATTTGTGTGCTTAGGAGTTTTCTTTTTCATATATTAGTGTCATTTTTAAGTGTTACATATTGCCTGGACATTTGAATTTGTTTTTTTTTCTTATTTGTGTATGTGTATATATTTATTTTTATATCCATTTCTATATATTTTTGTGTCCTTTTTCCTTATGTTGTTCATTGACTAATATTTGTTTTTCTATTCTACCCATATTAAATTTTATCTATTCAACCATTTTTATCTATATATCTTTGCCTGTATAAGTTATATTTTAATAGTATGTTAGAATTCGTTTACTAACACTTTCAAATTTGAATATTTCTTGGTGATATAATGTGCATGTCTTTATCAATGTATGTGTATATAATCGCTTATATGTGCCTTTCATTGTATGCGTATGTTTCATTTTTTTTTAAGTGTCATGGACACCTATTTCCTGTTTTGTCACTTTTTTGCATGCTTATATATCTAAATATGTCTATCTGTGTTTGTGTATTATAATCTGATTGCGTATGTCTTTTGCAAGATTTCACCCTCCTCTGCCCATATCTTCACTTCAAATGTATCTAAGTTGTAACATTAGATTTGAACGTTTATTCCAACTTAATTAAATAAATAACAAAACATATGTATTTTTTCCTCAGTTTCTATAAATAATTTTATAATTTTTTAAACTTAATACAGATTAAATTTAAAATTGGTAATTTTGAATTTTATAGTATAATCTAATATTAATTAGTTAGAATGAATTCTAACCCTAACATTAAAGCATTAAATAATTATTATAACCAAAGTTTGTTGTCAAGTTTTTTGAATTCTCATATACTTGTATTTTGATTGGTCATTCCAGAAGGGTGCTTGATTGATTTGAACCTTTTAAAACCCTTTATTCTACATTCAACACCATCACTTGATAAGACACCAGAAGTGTTGAAACAAAATGGCTATTTTTGTAGTGATTTTTAAAAATTTCTATGTCATAATTTTCAAATAAATAATTATATATATATATATATATATATATATATATATAAATGAAATGGAAAAATATAGTTTTAAGCTTTACTATGTTTATGGGTGTAAGTGCTCAATATCAGAAATAGAGTGTACATAAATGTAAAATTAGACACTGAAGTAAACACAAGTGGGAAATGTGAGCCCAAGAAGATGCAAAGTGTTGCTCTCCTGGAGTTAAGCATCAACCATGCTGATGGCAGGGAGAAAAAAATTCTCTCAAAAAAATACATATTTTCCACAGTACTTGCTGATATTATACTTTGATTTTTGGTAGATGTACTGATTTTTGGTAGATGTACTGATTTTTGGTAGATGTACTGATTATTACATGAATAATTTCATTTTTTACTGGTACTGT